GAAAAATAAACATTTAGAATAGAAAAAAGTATATAAAAATTCAAGCCGTAAAAACAAGCTGATTCTTCTTATTAAATACAAAGATATGAAGAAATTTAATAATCTTAAAGAAAATAAGAATTAAAATCAATACATATAAAATTAATTTTAGTAATATAATAGTTTTTAATATTTTTTTTAATAAATATATAGGATAGAGCAGCTGATTTATAAAAACAAAGAAAAGAAGCTTATTATTAAAGAATGTAAGAAATTTAAGAAAAATAGAAAATTTATTAATTAGAATATTAAGAAGAATTAGATAAATTGAAAAGGAAAATGTAATAAAAATAAGAATTAAATGGAATTGTATTTATTTTATAATAATAATTAATTTTATTTTATATTTATAGATTTTATAATATAGATAAAAATAAGATTAAAAACGAAAAAATGAAATATTTGAAATTATTGATAAAAAAAATATAAATTCTTAAAAAGTTATTAATAAAAAATAACAAGAAAAAAATGAAAAAATAACTATTTTATAAATGAAAAAATTTGATAAATTAGAAAACGTGGAAAGAATAAAATAAATGCAAGAATATAAAAGAGAAAAATTAAAAGAAGAAATAGAAAAGAAAATGAATAGAATCGATTAAATATAGTTTTAAAAAAATAAGATTTTAAAATAAAGGGAATTACTACATAAAAAAATTATGTAATAAAAAGAATATATTAATAAAAAAATGTTTGAAGTATAAATAGGAAAAGTATTTTTTTTAATATTTTTTTATTAAAAAAATTAATAATTATTTTTAAATTAGTAATAACCTGAAAATATATTAAAATAACTTAAAAAAATACCTGAAATTAAATAAAATAATTACTTTTAAGAAAATTAAATGTCTTATGATTTAGAAGAATATATTTAAAAATAAAGTTAAGAAAACAAAGATACAGATGATATTTTTAATGAAAAATATAGTTTTTAAATATAAATTATCATGAAATATTAAATTTTTATATATAAAAAAAAGAAAATCTAATTTATAAATATAAAGTTAAACAAAATGAAGAATTACTTAAAGTTATAAATGAAGAATAAAAAAATGAAAAAGAAAGATAAGAAATATATAATAAAATAACAAACAAAAAAGAAAAAAGAAGAATAGAAAAAATATTAATAGCGGAAAGATATACAGGATAAAAACGTATATAAAAAATAACTGAGTAAATAAAAAATATAAATAAATAATATATATATAAATATATATATGTATATGTATATGTATGTATAATATATATATATATATATATATATTTATTATTTTTTTTTATTTTTATTTTTTATTTTTTATTTTTATTTTTATTTTTATTTTTATTTTTATTTTTATTTTTATTTTTATTTATTTTTTTTTATTTTATTTTTTTATTTTATTTTTATATTTATTTTATTTTTATATTTTATATTAACTTTTTAAATTTACAATTCATATAATTTAAATTTATTTTAATTTTTTTAAGGCTTAATATTAATTTTTTACTTATAATTTTACATACAATACTTATTTTTAATATTTATATCAAATATATTTTTTTAGCATTTTTTTTTAAATTTAATAGAATACATGAATAAGAATTTCTTAAATTATTATAAAGAAAATGAAAATAAAATATTTGTATATATATTAATAAATTTATCATATTTTTTTATTATAAAAATATTTACATATTTTTATTTCTTTTTTTTTATTGTTTATTTCCTATAATATTTCCATGTATTTAATAATTTCCGGATTCTTTTTTTTTAGCTAAGTATAATATTCAAATCCCTAAAAAAGGAATTTTTCTAAATTTTTGGCAAATTAAGGGATATATTAAACTTGATTTTTGTACAATTTTTTTATTTAAATAAGCTTTTATTCTGTTTTTTCAATATTTAGTTTATGAAAGATCTTTAAAAAACTTTATATTGTAAACTTTTCTTGTTAAAATAAAATAAACTTTTCTACAAAAACTTAATTATATCCTAAAACATAATCTTTTGATTAAAAAATTGGTTTCTTTAGAATTTAAAATCTTTCTATAAACTCAAAAAAAAGTTCAAAAACAGGAAAAAGTTAATATTTTATATTTTCTTGTGCATATAAAGATTATAATGAAAGGCATTTTAGGTTCGCAAAAACATTTTCAATTTAAGAATTTGATGTTTTGAGTAAGTTTTTTAAATAATTTAATCTATATTTTTGTTCTAATTCACCTTTTTATTTTAATAATGGGTTCTAGAATTTTCTTATTTTAAGAAAAAGTATTATGTTTAAGTTCCATTCTTTATTTAATAATCTATATTGCAATAATTTTAATGAATCTATAAATGAAAATATTAAAGAATAAATATTTTTAGATAATTTTATTTATATTTTTTATTCTTTATTTTTTTAGGCTTTTTTAATTTGATTATTATTATTTAATTTTATATTTTTCTTTAACATTTTTTTATTTAAATAACTTTCTCATTATAAAAAAATATTATTTTTAATTACAAAATAAAAATACTAAATTAATTTTTTTAAAAAGCTATATATCCAATAAAAATAATCAAAAAAACTTTCCCCAAATAGAAAAATAAGTAAATCAGTTTTTAAAACAAAAAAAATCATAATCCCCCATAGTATAATTATAATACATAACATGTCAATAAACACAATATTATGAAATAATAACTTTGAAATTTCAACCATTTAATCCTTTGTCATAAAATATGTACAATTTCAATTTTTTTAGACTGCCAAGAATGAGAAGTTCGGTTATTTAATTAATTTTATCGTTTAAATATGTTTTATGTGTTCAAAAATTCCCTTTAGGATAATAATATCAAATAAATAATACATTTGATATAGTATAAATGGTAACTTCTGTACTTAAAATAAATATTTAGATTTAAAAATGAAAATTATTTTATTTTTTAATAACTTAATGTATGAAAATAAACATTTATTTTAGAAAGTAAATTCTGTCAAAAACGTTACTTTTTATGTCTCAAATGTACTAATTTTTTCAGCTTTTTAGTGAATTAAATGTTTCTCTTCTTTATTTTATGAATATTTTACCTTTCATCCTTCTTTTATTTATTCTTATTTTTCTTTGGATGAAAACAGAGTTTTGAAATGCAAAAAATCTTATTCTTTTTGCAAAAAATATTAATTTTTTTTGTAATTGTTATAATCCCTCATATTTTTATATTCCAATAATAAATACTAAACTCTATCCTTATATATGTAAAATCTAATAAAAATAGTATCCAAAAATTATTCGTGAATCCTTTTTTTAATATTATGGGATTAATAAAATTAACTAATAATAAATATTATATTCTAAATATATAAATTTTATTTCATTAATGAAATAAATGAGTGTGAAAATGCCATTTTTCATATAAATATATAAATATTATAATGGAAATTGTTTGTGATTTTTTTTTTGGAATTTCTTTTTGATGATTTTTTTTTTAAAGGTTGATTTAAAAATAGAAATAATAAATGCTTGAGTTCTTCTTAAAAAAATTGTTAAATTTAATCGTCGAAAAATAACTGCTTTTAATTTTTTGGAAAGAAACATAAAATTGCATTTTTTGTAATATTTTTTTTAAAAAAGGCAGGCTTAATAAATTATCTAAATAGGTTTTAATAAATTATCTAAATAGGTTTTGCTAGAAATGTATAGATATCTGTAAAAAAAAACTAAAAACTTAATTAAAGAAAAGGGAGAAAAATGGATAATTGCTACTTTTTTTGTTAGATGATTTTTATATGATGTTATTTTGAAATTGAAAATTGGTTTTTCCTTAAAGAAAAATAATACTTGAAATATAATTTTAATATAAAAAAAGTAAGTCTTTTGCTAGTAAATAAATTTATTTCAGTGCATATTTTTTAGTAATTTTATTTTAATTCATAAACTTTAAATAATTGAAAATAAAAAAATTCTATAGGCTGTTTTTACCTTAATTTATAATGTATTTTTTTATATCAAAATTGTGCTATATGTAGTTATATAGAAGAATATTTGAATATAGTATCTAAAATAATAATAAAATATGTATTAAATACAAGAAAATTTAGTAATAAAATAATTAAATATAATAGATTGCAAATTTTAATAAAAAAATTGTAATTTTCATTCACAAAAACTTCCTTGCTTATTAAAAGTCTTTATTTAAGTGAAAATATATAATAAATAATTTGTATGAAATATATGTTATAAAAAGAAAAATTCATAAAATTTACTTAAATATTTATATAAAATACTTAGAAAAATAATGGTAAAATAAGAGATTTGTTTTAACAATAAATATATATATATATAAATATAAATATAAATATAAATATATATATATATAAATATAATTATATATATTTACAAATATATAAATAGCTAATTATAAATAATAAATATTATAATTTTTCATTTTATAAAAAAGATTAAATTTAATTCTATTAATATAATCTTTATAAATATAATTATTTATTTTTAAAATTAATAAACACAAACATAGTAAAAAATTTTCATTAATTATATTAATTTTATTTTAATATATTTAAATAATTATTATAAGGATTATTTAATCTGTTTATTTATGGTAGATTTTATACTGACTACATATTTTTGTTTGGTGATTATTTTTTTTCTTAAATATTTTATTCTTTATTTTTTTCTTTTAATAGTGGAGTAAGGCAATAATTATAATTATTAATATTATTATTATTATTAATATTATTATTATTATTATTATTAATATTAATATTAATATTATTTTAAATTTAAATATTACTTTTTCTATTATAATTAATATTATTATTTTATTATTATTGATGTCTTTCGATTATTATTTATTTTTCAAAATTTATTAATTATCTAATAAAACCTCCATTAGGATTTATTATTTTTCTTTTTTATCTACATAAATCTAATGCTTTCTAAAAACTCATTCCTTAATATTTTATTAAATATGCAATTACTGTTGTGGAACTTCTTGAAATTCCAGCAAAACAGTGTACCAAAATGTTAGTTGTTTTCATGTTATTATGCATAAATTCTAGCATCTTATCGAAATGTCTACTTAAATTATAACTTTCTATATCTTCAGCCCATATTATCTCATGTTATGGCATTTATGTTTTAGTATATCTTACTCCTGAACGTGCTGCTACTGTTAACACTGCTCCTATGTTGTGTTTTTTTAACAAATCTAAATTCTATGCTGCTTCCAAATTTCCTAAATACAATCCACCAATTCCATTTTAAGGTTCTATTATGCAATTCATTGGATTTTATCGCATAAATGAGTAAAGAGTATTTTGTAAGAATTTTTAGTTAGTTAATGAATAGTACATTTTTTTATATTTATTTTTGTTATTTTTTTTTTTTTTATTAATTTTTTTTTGTGATTATAAAAAAACTAATATATATTTTTATTAAAGAAGAATTATATGGAAAATTAGAAACATAATTTATTTTTAAATAAATTATAAAAATAGAATTTATTTTAAATCAAATAAATAAATTTATTGATTGTTTTTATATTTAAAAAATTAATATAATATAAATATTATTTATAACAATTTTTTATAGAAATTTTAATATACATATATATTTTATGATCATACAAAAAATAGAAAATCTCTACTTTTTTAATTTATTCATAATAAAATTATAAAGTATAATAAGATTAAAATCAAAATTTAATTATATAAATTAAAAATTTTTAATTAGAATAGAATTTTTTTTTTTATTGAAAAAGTTTTTTATTTTCTAAACTATTAAAAATAAATAAACTTATTCAAAAAATTTTATATTCAGGATTATATCCCTAATACAAAAATAGAACTTTAAGTAAAAAAATTTACAAATATAATCATGAAAGGTTACTAAATAGAAATTTTAATTCATAAAAAAGATTATTCGGAAAGAATATGTTAGAAAATATAATTTTATTGTTTCAACGCAAGATTTTTAAGAAAAAATGTAAAGGAAGAATTTATAATGGGAAATACATGTAAAAAAATCGTAAATTCGAGAAAATTTTTAAATTAAAATTCTAAAAAAATTTAGGTAAAATTAAAATTTGAAAGTGGTTACTGTTGTTTTTAATTTATTTGTAATAGAAATTTTTTAAAAAAAGGAATCTGGGAACTCCAATGAAAATTTTTGAAGGATAATTATGCAATTTTAAAATCTTAAATGTTAATCAAGGAAGATAATTTGAAAAATAATAATTATTTATTTATATGATTTTAATAAAGGATTAATTTAAAAAAAAAAATTGTAAACAAAAAATTAGAAAAGAAAAGAAGAATTAGTTTGTAAATAATATTTAAAAAAGTAATTAAAAATTTTGAAAAATATACAATGAAGAAAAATAAAGTTTTTAGAGAAAATAAGAACATTACAAATTAAAAAATTTTTAAATATTAATTAAATTTATTTTTTATTTTAAAATATATTAAAAAAATATAATTAAGTATTAGTTTATTTATATATATTTTTTTATTTTTACTTCAATGAAAAATTAAATAAATAATTTATAAAGGCCTGCTAGTGCTGCGTAAATTTATTAAAAAAAAAATAAAGGTTATGAAGAAAAAAGCATCGAATATAATAATTTAATAAGACCTTCAACTTCTAATCCAAAAAATATACAAAATTAATAAATATCAAGCAATACAGATATTATGTATTTCAGTAATAATAATTAATAATAATTATATTAAAGCAATAATCAAATCTATGTTGATTCTAATAATAAAAACTTTAATACGAAAAATTAGATTTTCTTTGATTCGAATAACAATTTGCTTAATTTTGATAATATTAATAACATGCCAGTTTGCAATGAGTTTATTTTTATAAATACATTATTATTTTTTATGCACATATCGTTAATTTTTTTCTAAAAAAAGTTTCGCTTTGGGTGTTCCTATGCTTATTTCGCCTTCATTTAATTAATTTACAAAATAAATTCCTAAAACTATAAAAAAAGATAAAGTTTATTACTTATTTCTTATATTTTTAAATATGTATATTTTTTATAAGGAGTAATTGTGGATTGAAAACCAATAATATAAGCAAAATTATTTTTTGTTGAAACAATAAAATATATAACTTAGTACATAAAACTAACATTTAATTGTAAATAATAAAATAATATACTATTTTTTAAAAAAGATTATATATTTAAAAATTATTTAGAAAGAAAACGTAAAATAATTAAAACTTATAAATGATGTTGAAAATTACATTTATAAAAAGAAAGATTTTAATAGTTTAAATTTTGCTTAATTAAATTAAGTTTTTATTTAAAAAAAAATTAAAAAAAAATATTAATTTAAATTATTTTTGTTTACAAAAAAAAATAATTTAATTAAGAATATTTAATTTAAAAATTTTCAAACATAAATACATCAATTAAAAACTGAAGTATAGCAAAAGCATGAATTAATAAAAAAATTTTAAAAAAATACAACTCAAACAAAAATTTAAGAATTATAAATAGAATTACTTCATAGTAGGGAAGAATGCATAAGATTAAAAACGCTTTTTTAATAAACTATAAATGATTAAAATTATTAAATGAAGTAAATTTTTTAAATTTAAAATATTTATATAAATAAATAAATAAATAATAGAATTTTAGATTTAAACGATTTTTAAAAGAAATTCCAAATTCAAATAAGTGTTATAAATAAATTAAAATAAGAAAAAGACGAATAAATTGGTGTTGCGAAATTATTAGAAGAAAGAATGATTGAATTAGGAGTATGTATTTATATATAAATACATTTATATTTTTAACAAAAATAAAAAGATAAATTTAGAATTATGTTAAAAATAATTATAAGAAAAAGAAGAAAACGAATAAAGGATGTATATCTAAATCAAATAAAATGAAGAAGAAATAAAAGAATTAAAAAACGAATTGATAAAATATGAACAAATCAACTAAAAACTTGAAAAAAAAATAGATGATCTTTATGAGCAAGATACAAGAATAAGAGAGCTGTAAAATTGTAATTTACAAATTTTTAAAATAAAATATTTAGAAAGGAACAAGAGAAAATTATAGGCAAAAAATTACAAGAAAAAAGAGACAAAGTTAAGAAATTAAAAAGATTATGCAAGGAACTAAACTATAAAACACAAGATTAATAAAAAAGGGAAGAGATTTTAGAAAAAAGCTATAAGTTATAAATAAACTAATTATTATAACAAATTGATGATATGAAAATGTCTTAATATAAAAGCAATAAAATAGAAAACTAATAAATAAGACAGCATAGGATTACAGATTATTAATTATATTAAAATAATGATAATTTAAAAGATACAGAAAAAAAATAATAATAGATAAACTTAAATAATAATAATAATAATAATAATAATAATAATAATAATAATAATTATAATAATAATAATATTTATAATATTAATAATAGCATTAATAGCAATTATCATAATTATAATTTTTAATAAATATAATAATAATAAAATTTACATATTAAATAAACTAAAAATTAAGAACTGTTGCTACACAAGATATAAAAGATTTAGGTTTTTTTAATTTATATTTTAATTTTATTATTTATATATTTTCAGGTAAAGAACTTAATCTTAGATTGTCTTTAAAAAAATTGAAATTTAAAATATTATTTAATTTTTTTTAATGATTTAGACTAATAAATAACTGTTAATAATGCTTTTTAAAAACTTTAAAAGTAAATAATAAATTATTTTTCTTTCATATTTTAATAAATAATTAAATATAGAGAACCTTTTAATATTAATGATCAGCAAACTGCTCTTTTATTTGCAAGATATTTAGTTGAAAATAATGAAGGATCATATGTTGATTTTCATGATGAATTAAGTGCTAGTGTTGATATTGTAAAAAGTAGACTTAAAAATATTATTTAATAAGTAAAATTCCCTACTAAAGAATAAGAATAAATTCTTTTTGAATAATTAGTTTAGGTTATTTTATATTTCAATAAAAAAATATATTTTTTTTATAGATTATGGAATAATATGCTTAAGGCATAATTTCTTAATTGCTTTTACATCCTGATGTTTAAAAAACTAAATAGTTTAATGAACATTAACTTAATAAAGTTATTGAATATATTGATATTCCATTTACTAAAGAATAATATGATTATTTTTTACTTTTACTTTTTTAAAGTTCTAATACAATAAAATATTATAAACTGGAAGATATCAAATTGATTTTTTAGAAAAGACATAGACTTAATAACAATGTAAAAAGTAAAAAAAATATTAATTATTATTAGTTATTTTTTTATTTTATAATAAAAAAAAGGACAAAGTGTTAAAAATAAAAAAGAATTAGAAGATATAAATTGATTTTTTATAATATTTTTTAATTTTTTTGTTTTTATATAAAAAAATTAAATAATAACTTTCAGTATTTATATTTTTATTATAAATAATTTTTATAAAAATACAAAAATATATTTTTTAGTAGAAATATTATGTAATATTTCACAAATTTAATTATTTGTTTAAATAATTTTGTAAAATTATGTATAAATGTAAATAAAATTAATTTTATTTTTATTATAAAATAAATTTAAAAATGTTTAAAATTGTTTAAATCTAAATAAATAATTAGTTATATCTCTTTATTATAATTTATATATATATATTATAATATATAATTTTGTAACAAAATGTTACTTCTTTATTTATTCTTTAATATTTTAAAATAACAATCATCATATTTATTAACTAATTTGAATAATTATTTTTTTAAAATTTTATAATATAGTCAAAATTACATAATATTTAAATTAGTAATAAAAATATATAATACTTAGTTTTTAATTTTTTTTATCAACAATTACATACGAAATTTACCCTAGAGCATAAAATTAAATTATATTTCTCTATCATTTATAATTATAATATTCTGAATATAATATAGCAAATTATATTATAATACTTAATATATATTATATTTAGAAATAAAAAATTCAAGTTTATAAAAAAAATCTAAAAATCTTTCTAAATAAATAATTATATTTTAAAAATAATTTGACACAAAAAAAATTAAAAAATGGAAAACGACATAAATAACCTCCAAGTATTCAAAGATGATCACTATCTAAACGAATTTCGTGAGCATTTTATGGTTCGAAACAACACATTTTACGAAATCCTACATGAAATCGAAAAAAAAGAAGGATCTTTACAAAACTTCGCCAAAGGTAATGAAAAATATGGCTTTAATATTGAACATGGTAATCTAGTATACCGCGAATACGCCCCTGGAGCTAAAGAAGTATATTTATTTGGTGAATTTAATAATTGGGATCGAAGACAATATGGTTTAACAAAAGATGCATTCGGAAATTGGGAAATAAAACTACCTTTTGGATAAAATGGAGAATCTCCTATATCTCACGGTTCTCGTATAAAAGTGCATGTATTGACTGCCAATAATGAATGGGTGGATAGGATTCCAGTTTGGATAAAGAGACTATATTAGGATGATAATACTAAGATTTTCGATGGTGTATATTGGTCGAAGATAGATTATAAGTTTAATCATCCAAGACCTAGTAAAAAACATGCGCTGAAAATATATGAATGTCATATTGGAATGGCTGGTGTAGACGAGAGAGTTCATAATTTTTAAGAATTCAGAAGAGATGTACTCCCTAGAATAAAAAGACTTGGTTATAATACTATATAGATAATGGCGATAGCTGAACATGCTTATTATGGATCTTTTGGTTATCATGTAACTAATTTGTTCGGTGTTTCGAGTAGATTTGGGACTCCAGAAGATTTTAAATAACTAATTGATGAAGCACATGGGATGGGGATACATATTTTGATTGATATAGTACATTCTCATGCTAGTAAAAATGTAAATGACGGATTCAATTAATGGGATGGAACTGATTATTTATATTTCCATGAAGGAGCAAAAGGAAATCATAATTAATGGGATTCTAAGCTTTATAATTATGGAAAATGGGAAGTTTTAAGATTACTATTAAGTAATGTTTCTTGGTTTATGAAAGAATACAATGTAGATGGATTTAGATATGATGGAGTCACTTCTATGCTTTATAAACATCATGGTTTAGGGGTAGGATTTACAGGTGGATATCATGAATATTTTAATTATGATGTTGATATTGAAAGTTTAGTTTATTTAATGCTAGCTAATAAACTTATTCATGAAATTTATTAAGATGCCATCTCTATTGCAGAAGATGTTTCAGGTTATCCCACTCTATGTAGGAAAATTGAAGAAGGAGGTATTGGATTTGATTATAGATTATAAATGGCAGTACCTGATAAGGTATTTTTTTATTTTTAATAATTTTTTTTATTTTTTTTTTAGTGGATTAAATTATTAAAAGAATTTAAAGATGATGAATGGGATATGGAAGATCTAGTTTGGAATCTTATTAATAGAAGATATGATGAAAAGTGTATAGTTTATTCAGAAAGTCATGATTAGGCTTTGGTTGGAGATAAGACTTTAGCTATGTGGTTATTTGATAAAGTATATTTTCATTTTTTTTTATGAATTTTTTTTTTTTAAAGGAAATATATTTTAATATGAGTGAATAAATTCCAGAATCAGTAGTTGTAAATAGAGGCATGAGTTTACATAAAATTATTAGATTAATTACAATAGCCTTAGGAGGAGAAGTAAAATATATAAATAAATATTTATATATATATTACTTGTGTATATTTAAAATGTTTTGTTTTTAAAAAAATTTAATCAAGCTAAAAAAAGGCAATTAGCTTTTTTATGATTGATTTAGTTTTTTTTAAAATAATAAAAAATAAATGAACTCGTATAATATAATTAATTTTAATTAAAAATAAATAAAGGGTTATTTAAATTTTATGGGTAATGAATTTGGGCATCCAGAATGGATAGATTTTCCAAGATAAGATAATGGATGGAGTTTCCATTATTGTAGAAGAAGATGGGATTTGATTGATAATCCTAGTTTAAGATATAAATATTTAAATAACTTTGATATGGAGATGATAGAATTAGAAGAAAATTTTAAATGGTTAAACAGTAAAAATATGTATGTAAGTACAAAACATTAAGGCGATAAAGTTATTGCCTTTGAAAGAAATGAGCTCCTTTTTGTTTTTAATTTGAATCCAACTTAAAGTTTCTAAAATTATAAAGTAGGTACTTCAATTTCTGAAGATCATATTATAATTTTTGACACAGATGAAGTAATTATATAAATTTTAAATTTTTATATTTAATATGAAATAATAATAATAATTATAAAAAGCCTCATTTTGGAGGACATGATAGAGTGAGAAAAGGACATGAAATGTCTTTTATTACTTAAAAAGATGAATTTAATGGTAGACCTTATAGTATTCATCTTTATTTACCATCAAGATGTGGAATAGTTTTAACTTCAGTTAAAAGAGCTCATGAATATTGGTAGAATAAAATAAAATTCCATTGATAAAAAATATAATATATATTTATAAAAAAATGTATTTTTTAAATATGAATAGTTAGAGTTAAAATTTTATAAATATTAATATTTAAAATTTTTTAAAAAATTACAAAAATATAATTGAATATAAATATATAAATAATATTATTTATATTTTTAAATATATATTAATTTATTGATTTCTATTAATATGTATAATTTTTTTATATTTAATTTTTATATTTTTATGTTAATTTTATTGTGAATTGATTTTTTTTAATTTTAATTTTTTATTCTTTAAATTTAATAAAATAATATAACTAAATATATATAACTTTATTTTTTTAATAAATTTGTATTTTTATTAATTTTTTTTAAAAAAATATATAATTTTATTTTTATTTTTAGACAATCAAAGATAAATAATAATATTTCTTTATTAATTTGATATATTTGTATTTAAAATAATTAAATTAAAATTAAATATTAATATTATTTTGATATTTATTAATTAATTATTTATATGCATTATTTAATGGAAAGTATATAATTTATAAATAAATTAAAATTAAATAATTTTTTTACAAACTATTGTTTGCATAATATTATTTAAATAAATACTATTAATTAAAATTAAAAAAATATATATTAAAAATAATAAAAAAAATCAATTAAAAAAAATAATATTATAAACATTTATTTATTCTTTAAAAAATGAAATTAAATAATCGTTTTTTACTTGAGATTAAAGTATATAATTGTTTATTAAATAATTCTGAGTTTCTTTCGTAAAAATTAAAAAATACAAAATAAGCAGCTAACAAACCAAAAATTTAAATATATAAATAAAACTAGCAGTTAGTTTGTTAAAATTTAAAATTTTTCAGGCAATAAATTTAATTATATATAAATTCATTATTTTGAAGCTTTTGTTTTAAATTCAGATTAGCAATAATTCGGTCTAATATAAGCTATACAGATTTCATATTCATAAATATAATTTTTAAATATTTTCAAAATATTGTCGTTAGTGTAATACATTGTAATTAATTACAATTTTACATTTAATATATATGAATTAAGTGGCAGAGTGTTTTTAACTAATGGCTTTGATAAAATGTTATAATTTAAAGCGTTTTTGAAGAAGAAAAAGAAATAAAAAATATATAAAAAATTATATAATGAAGTTAAAAAAAAATGTTTCGAATTAAATGAGTAATTTTATTAATAATGCTAGTGAAAAAATTAATTTAGTTTTTTTTTTTATTTAAAGATTTACAAATAATTAGTAGTAAAATAAGAATAGTAGTTAAAATATAAAATAAAAAAATAATATAATATATAGATATACTATTATATATTTTTAGATAAAGTATAAAGATAATTAAATTAGTAAATTTAGAACATAGTTATAAGAAGCATTTTCGAAAATGGTACTGAATATGATAAGAAATTTAACATCAGATCTTATACTAATTAATAAGTTATTCCTATTTTCTTTGTATTTGATAATTTCTTGAATAGGAAAACTTTATATTTTTGTTATTTAAAGAAAAAAAAAATAGTAAGTCTTAATTCTAATTATTTTTTCATATTGATTATAAAAAATAAAATTGTTGAAAACCCTTATTTTGGCTGTATTTGTGTTAATATATATACTAATTAACTTAGTAATTATATTTCATTATTTACATTAAAAAAATGAAATAATAAAATAATTTTTTTTTTAAAAGATTGTATAATTAATTTTATTAAAAAACAAAAAAAATAGATATAATATATAAATATATATATTATTTAATCTCAAATAAGTTCAGCAACATTAAAAGGCATTTCGTCAATTTAAGTTGAATAATACTATTCAATATCTCTAAGAATTCCGACATCTTCATTTTTCACAAAATTAATAGCTACTCCTTTTCTTCCAAATCTTCCTGACCTACCAATTCTATGAATATAAAGTTCTCTATTACTAGGTAGATCATAATTAATAACAACTGAAACTTATTATACATCCAGACCTCTTCCCCAAATATCAGTAGCAATAAGAATTCTATATTGCCCATTTCGGAATTCATGCATAACTTTATCTCTTTCTTTTTAAGACATACCACCATGAATATAACAAAGGGAGAAGTTTTATTTAGTCATTTAATCAGCAAGCCATTCTACAATTTTTTTTGTATTACAAAAAATAACTGCTTAAGTAACTGTTATAGTATTATATAAATCACATAAAGTTTCTAATTTCCATTCTTCTTTTTCAACTGAAATAAAGAATTGTTTTATTCCTTCTAATGTTAATTCATCTCTTTTTACCAATATTTTAATTGGATTATTTGTAAATTTATTTGTCATTTCTAATATTTCTTAAGGTAAAGTTGCACTTACAACCACATTCTAATTATTATGAGGCAAATATCTATAAATATCATACACTTGTTATTTGAAACCTTTCGAAAGCATCTCATCTGCTTCATCTAATATTAACATTTTTAAGTTTCGGGTTCTTAAATGTCTCTTCTATATCATATCATATATTCTTCCTGGAGTTCCTGATACTATATGTACTCCCTTTTCTAATGAATTTTTATCATCTTCCATACTTTTACCTCCAATACAACAATGAACTATTTATTTTTATTATTTTAAATAAATATATAAAGGATATAAATTATTTTTTTACCAATAATATTCATATGATCTCCTAATGCCAAACATACTTTTTATGATTATTCTGCTAATTCTCGAGTTGGAGAAACTATTAATATTTAAGGTTCTCTTAAATTTTTGTCTACTATCTATAATGCAGATATGCAAAAAACACCTGTTTTTCCTGTTCCGGATTAACTTTATACTATTACATCCCTTCCTTATATTATTGGCTTTATTGCTCTTTGTTATACTGCTGATGGTTTGTCAAATCCATAGGTTAAAATACCTCTTATAAGCTCGTCTTTTAAATTCATTTTTTCAAAAGTTGTAACTACTTCTATTTCTTCGCTTGATTCATATTGAAAATTATCATTTGTTTATTTTGATTCAGCCATTTTATTTTATTTTATTTATTTTTCTAGACAATTAACAAAAAAAAAAATTATTATTATTTTTATTTTTATTTTTAAATTTTTATATTTTATAATTAGAAATTTATTTATTTTTTATCTTTAATTTTTCTCTTTTTTTTTTAATTTTAATATATAAATAAGATTTAATTATTTATTTTTTCAATGAGTTTTTTAATTGTTTTTTTTATTTAATTATAAACTTTTTTGTTGCAAATTATAATTTAATAAAGCTATAGAATTATCAAGAGTTTAATAATCATCTTTGTGAAAAAAAAAAAAAAATATATATACTATATATACAAATATTTATATTTTAAATTAAAAAAAATACATTTTATTTAAACATTTTATTCACTATTTTCTTTATTTTATTTTTTTTATATTTTTGTTAAATAATACAAAGGGGTAGGATTATCCAAAGGATTTTTCCTTCCTAAAAAAAAAAATTAATAAAATATATTTATTATTATCATTACTTGCATTTTAGCTGATATTTTGAGAATAGTTTAGCCTTTTTAAATTATCTTATTCAAACTAAAAAACACTATAAACAGATGGTGTATTATATAATCTTTTCATAATAATCTTTATTATTTATTTTTGTAAGAATAAAAATTAATTTGTAGATTTAATACCTTGTTTTCTTTATTTATGTTCTTTAAATTACTAAGCCTTGTATATATTTTACTGTTTGCATGCCTTATGCAAAATTATTTTACTGATTCAGATGCTTTATTATTTAATTATCTCTAATCAATATTAAGCATTTTTTCTTTTAATAGTTAATTTTCATATGACACTTTAAATCCTATTTCTTTTTTTTAATTATTATATAATTTATAACATCGTTTATTTTTACATCTATTTTTTTTAATATTCTTTAAATCAGGAGATTTCATAAATCCCGGGACATAAGGCGAATCATTTTATAATTAAGGTTTTATATTTATAACATTTTATACGAATTTTAAATGAGACTATTTGAATATAAATATATATTGTTTAATTTAAATATTTATTAACTTTTTATAAATCTTTTTCTGCACAATACTTGTTTAATGAAATTTAGTTCCACATTTTTTTATTTTAATTAACGAAAAAATATTTATTTTTATTAAATAATTCAAAATATTTTTTAGTAGGTATTAATAATTATATGATTATAATAAAATATTTGTATTAATTTTTTATTGATTTAATAAATTTTTAAGTTATATTTCCTAATAAATTATAAATCCACATTTTTTATTAAAAAAAAGAATAAAAAAATATTAGAAATAAAAATAAATGACTAGCTAATAATCATAATCAAATCAATTTTTACAAAAACTTGAAAATGAGGTATTTTTAATAAAAATATTTTGAAAAAAATTCTCTTTATAAAAATAATTATATAAAAAAAAGATTTTATATATAAGAAGTTATCTCTTTCCAAAATTACTAAACTGTAAAAAAAATGAATTTAAAAATTTAGAAGCTGTATATTCTTTAATAATAAGTTAATCTAAAGTAAAAATAAAACAATATTTATATTTAAAGAAAAAAATAAATAAGAATTATTAATTAGAAGATATTAATTTAGAGTAAATATATGGCAGCTATTTAAAAACATTGAAATAATTCAAAAGATAATAAGAAAATTATTCTAAATTAAATGAAAGGGATGTAGATGCTTTTAGAAAAAATACGAACAATTAGGAATTCAAATTCTTCCATTAATACACGATATAAAAATTAATATATTCGAAAGAATGGTGAAATATGGTATAAAATAAAAAAAAATAACTTAAATAATATAAAAAAATAGATATAAATAAAATTCTTGATTTTAATTTCTAAATGCATCTTTATAGTAATAAAGAATTATGTGATATTTCATTTTTTATGTTTTAATATGCTAATTTACATAACTAAAATAATATTGATGATTAATACCTTAAAAATCTTATAGAAAAATTATGCTTAAATTATAATATAATACCTTATCATAATTGGACTCACGCTTTTTAATTAATGCATGTAAAATAAAATTAATAAAAATAGTATTCCCTATAAATTTATATAAATAAAAAAAGATGTATTTTTGCACATACTTCAATAGTTAATTGAAAAACTTTTTAGAGCCTTTTGAATTTTTAGTAGGATTAATTTCAGGACTTGCACATGATATTAATCACAGTTTAATTTTTTATTATATGTATTTATAATTTTTTTTCTAATTTCAAAAATAAAAATATTTAATTAAATAGAGGGGTTTAATAACATATATAAAATAAAAAGAAAATCTGAAAATAGTTTAAGATATGCTGAATAAGGAGTACTTGAAAATATGCATATTTCTTAGTTTTTTAGAATTATTTTTAATAATCCTGAATTGGATATTTCTTAAAAAATTACTGAACCAGTATTTTTTTTTTCTAATTATATTTTACTTTAATATATAAAAAAAGAACAAACTAAACAGATTTAAAAAATTAATATTTTCTAATATTATAAATACTGATATGGTAAATAAATGTAATACATATTACATAAAATATATAAAAGGCAAGACATTAATAATTAATTCATGAACTCAAAATAAAAAATGCTTCGTAATTAAAATAATAGTAAAATGAATTAGATAAATATTTGTAATTATCAAAAACAAAAGAAGCAGATAGAGAAGTATTAAAAATATATATAATACTTATTTGTTTAAATAATAAGCTCATTTCAAATATTTTGATTCATGCATGTGATATAGGAAATCCTTGTTATTAATTTGATAATTATATGAACTGGTGTTTTTTATTAATTTAAGAATTTTAAGACTAAGTAATTATTTTAACATATCATTCATTTATATTTCTTAAAAAAAAAAAGACTATAAAAGAAGAAAAAAACAATTTACCTGTAACTTAATTTTTAATTTACAAAGGAAAATAAGAATTTTATAAATCTTAAATTTTTTTCTGTTGTAAAGAACAAAAATTATTTATTATTTTAATTTAGTTTTATTATAAATAGAAACTTTTGTTTTACCTTTATGGTATGAAATTTCTGTTTAATTTAATGATTTGTCTGTTTTATGCTAATAATCGGAAAATAATATCAAAATGCTTGGATGAAAAAAGTAAGAAATCATAAAAGTTATGAAACAAATCAAAATTACAAGACAAAATAAATATTTAAAAATATAAAATTTTTAATTAAGTATTTATTTTATTTAAACGTTAATTTCATTAAATAATTTATATAATATTATATTTTTTTATATAAAAAAAAAAAAAATTATATATATAACAATTTTTATAAAAATAATAATAATATTTTCGATTAAATTATATATATAACAATTTTTATAAAAATAATAATAATATTTTCGATTAAGTTTAATTTTTATTCTAACGCATATATTTATTATAAGAAAAAAAAAATCGACAAAAAGCTAATAAAAAATAAAGATATAAGAATGAATTTAGATTAAATATTTGAATGGTAATTATCATTTATAATACAAAAAAAAAAATATCCAATAAATAAAATATATCTAAGTAAGTACATATAAAAAATAAAAGGATTCTAAAAAAGCCTAAAAATTATCCTGGAAAACATCAAAAATCTTAGCCACGAACATAACCATAATATTTACCTATAGAAGCTAAAGCATAAGTAGAAAAAAAAAAAAAAAAATTAAATAAAAAAAATTAATAAAGTTTCATATAATATTTAAGGCTACAGCTGAATATATAAAAGAAAATATGATAAATGGAAAAGTAGATTTCAAAATATTTTATTATAATTTATAAAAATTAAAAGAGCGTTAATATCCCTGAATTTGGTGCTTTTGCTTTCGAAATAATAACTGATTATGTAAAGCCAATATAAAATTGCAATTTTTAAATATCAAGAAGTTTAGAATAATAAAGAAAAGAAAGAAATCATATTCATAAAATAAAGTTTACAAATTAAAATTAAAATAAAAAATATATTTAAAAAGACCTTGCTTTTTACCAGATAATAAATTGAAAACTCAACTCAAAAGATATCAAGAAAAAGAAGAAAAATAAAGTAATTTAAATAAAATAAACTAATATTTTAACAATAATAAAAGATTTTAAATCAGATAGATCTGTTTATTAATAAGTTTTTAATATTATTTATTGTAATCCAGTTCCAATTGCAGAATCTTGGTTATTTTTAATATATAAATATATCTTTATTTAATTATATTAGCTTTTTAGGAAAAGATATAATATAATCAGCCCATAATGCTTTTTTTTATGCAATTCAACATTTATCATCTTTAGGTTTAACAATTTTTTTTTTCTTTTCTTTAAATAAACATAAAAAAAAGGTTATGCATTACATATTGACTTAAAATTTATATCAATTAAAATTAATAATCATGATCTATAATATAATTATAATGAAGACTTTATAAATAGGTTAAATATTCTTGAGTTTGAATAAAAAGTTTAAAAAAAAATATATTTTTATAAAAAAAATTTAAAAAAAAGCTGAAAAAATCAATATATCCTACTAAAAAGTTTTGGGAAAATTCACCTTAATAAAATCGTGAAAAAAGCAGGTTTTTTTTTTTAACAAAAATAAAAAATGTATTTAATTAATAAAAAAAGTTTAACTAATCTTCTAAAAAGACCTAATAGTAACAATACAAAAGCTATGTTTGATAAATCTTTTGCATTAAATATAATGTCTTATGATTTAAATACTTCAAAGAAAACAAAGTATTCACAAAAAAATAAATTACCCTATATTTTATGAATTAGTTTTTTTATAAAAAATATGATATTATTATATATATATTAAAATAAATAAAGAAAATTAAAACTTATTTTTTTTTTAAAAAAAATAATAATTTATAATATAAATTAATAAAAAATAAAGAAATAATATTTAAATAAATATATTATTATATATATTATTCTTCTTTCATTTTTTATCTTTATCTTTTTCTTTATTCTCTTCTAAAGCTAGAGCAGCAGCTGTTGCTGCAGCCTGAGCAGCTTTTTATTCTTCTATAGCTTTTCCACATAATTAAATTGCCAACATTGTAAATTCTCCAGCTTTTTTTTTAAAATAAAATAAAATAAATATTTATTTATTAAGATTTTATTTTTTAACAACATTATGTAATAATATATTCATATGAATGTTTCGTTCTCAATCTTATAACTTCGACATCATTCTTAAAATTTGAAATTAAAATAAATATATATATATATTTAACTTTTTTTTTTTTTAAAAAAAAAAAATGTACATCAGGACTCCTTAAATCTCTTTATATAATTTTTCTTGAAACATTCCATAAATCAGAAACTAAAGCAGCCACATGAACTGCTTTTGTATAAGGAATAGTTTTTTCAGTATTTTTTAATGTAATTCCTTTTATTTTTTTCAGAATATTTTATTTTTTTAAATAAATAAAATACCAAATTCATTAAAAATAACATATCCATTAGATCCTTCTAAAGTCATAAGTTATTTTAATTAATCATCTGCATTAATATCTTGTGCCTTTATTTATTTTTTTATATAAGTGATTATTTTTGAAAACTGAAAGTAAATAAGCAAGTTACCATTTACAATTTTTTTTAAAAAAAATACTTTATTTACTAAAATTTTTTTATATTTATAAATAAATAGTTTTATTTTTAATTTTTTTAACAAAAAAAAACAAATAAAAAAGAAGAAAAAAATCAATATTTTTATATAAACAAATATATAGTTATTAACAAAAAAAAATTTGATTTCATAAAAAAAACTTTTCAATTTAGCCTTAAATTCCTAAAAAAAATATTAAATTTTTAAAACATTGAAAATCAACAGATATTTTTTTCCCTTTAATTTCATTAACAATTTTCTATAACCATCTTTCATTCCAAAACTTGATATTTTTCTCAAAAAATCATCATTATTTAAATCTTAAATATTAACAATTCCGTTCTTATCTAAATCAAGAATTTTGAATATTTTTTTGAATAAAATATCTCTTTTTTTGTTTTTTTCGATAATAGTTTTCTTTATTTAATTACAATTAATTTTATTTTACCAATTTTTCATATATTTATTTCAAGTCTTCCTTTTCGCTACATGAGCTTATTGAAAGTATCTCATTTGATACATTATTGAAATTTTATTTTATATATTCTTCACATTCATTTATTTTTTCTTATGAAACATTCAAATAGCTATCACAAAAAATATCTAAGTTTTCTTCTTATATTAATTCTTTTTAAGTAAAATTATTATTGTTCTAAAAACCTGCAAATTTTGGAGAATTTTATGAATATTTTGCTTTAGGGGAATTCTCTAAATTATCAATTTCAATATTTTTTTTATTCAGTTCTAATAAAATGTTTTATATTATAAATTCAGCACAATCTTCACCCAAATCATTCTTTTCGCAAAATTCTTCTGCTAAAAATTTAATGTCATCTCCATGTTGTACATATATTTTTTCTTATTCTCCTTCTTCGAATTATAATGTAACAATTGCAAGTATTTTTTTGTTATTAAATTAATTTGTTTATTCACAAATTTTAAATAAGTTTTTTATTTTTTCCTTTTGGGTTTATGTACTACTATTATGACTAGGTTATGTGTTTGAAAAATCTTAAGAAAATGTATGGTTTAGATGAGAATTTTTCATTATTTTTTTAAAAAAAAAATATTTAATTTTTTATAAATTTATTATTTATTTATTTTTTTTTTAAAAAAAAAAATATTTTATTTTTGTAAGCAAATTAATTAATTAAAATAAATAATAATTATAAATAAATATATCTTTATATTAAATTTTTTATTTTATTATAATTAAATGATATATTTTGTCATTTTTTTTTTTTTTCCTTCTTCTTATTCTAAGTACTAATTAAGATAATGATGAATAAAAACATATTTAATAAGTTTATTATTTTTTTATTTCAATTAATACACTTATTTTAAATTTTATAAAAAGGCAATTCTTAAATACTAAGAGGAATCTGCAATATCAAATAAAATTACAGTTTGTACATATTAATTAACAAAAATTTTGAATTAAAATAAAGGGTATTTCCTAAATATAGATATAGAAATCAAAAAAAAGTATTTATTCAAATAAATAAAAATAAAATATATATTTAAAAAAAGATTGTCTAAAAACTTTATTTCAATAAGGTTTTATTTTGCGTGAATTAGTTATAAAATTAATATAATGAAAAATATATAGTAATTAATAATAAAAATAACATAACTATTAATTAAAATAAATATTTACAATAAAGACTATAGAAAAGTCAGAAAGAATAATAGATAAAAATTTTTTGAATTTAAACTTTAACTAATTAAGTGACTTTAATTAAAATTTAGATGAAAATGAACTAAAAATAAAGAAACAAATAGAGAAAATTATAAATGTTTTTTTTTATTTTAATGATATAAATAATTATTTTATAAAAAAAAAATAGTCTGATAATAAATAATTGAATATTTTTAATGACAATCTACTTTATTTTATATTTTTAATATTAATTTTAATAATATTTATTTATATTATATATAAATAAGAAACAAAATAATAAAAAACTAAATAAAATTGAATTATTAAATTATTTATTTTAAATATTAAAAAATGGAATCTCATTTTTCATATTTATAAAATACAAATTGCAATAAAATAAAATATATCAAAGAAAAAAGTATTATCAACGATAGCAATACAAAATAAAATATAAATTAATCTTAAAATTCTATACATTATGAAATGAATTAAACTAATCATACAACTCAATTTATTGAAATATTTGTAGCAAAATTTTTATATCAATCAAATTATTAAATCAAAAAAATATGAAGATAATAAATGAATTATTGTAAAATAAAAAAATAAAATATACCAAATTAAATTACACACTTAAAGCAATATTTTATTCATACTGATTATTGCATTGTAAAAATCAAAAATATTTGATGAGTATTCATATTAATATTAAATAAAATAGATAAGCTAAATAATAAAGTAGAAATTAAAAATTATAAATATTTTCAAAGTATAAATAAATAAAATAAATACAAAAAAATAACAAAAATTATTTATAAATATATTTGAAAAAAAAGAAAATTATATATAAATATATATTGTTTATAATAACAATTTCTATAATAAAAGCTTAAATTAAAAAAAAATAACTAAAATAAATGAAATAAATTAAAAAATTAAATATTTTAAAAAAGTATAATAATTTATATGAAAAATTATTATATATAATTATTTAAAAAAGTAAATAAAGAAACAAAAATGAATTAAAAATTCAAATAAAATATTTAATTTAAATTAATATATTATAAAAAAAAATAAAAAAAATATTGATATTTAAATATTATATATTAATAAAATCATTACAAAAAAAATATTATAATTATTAATAAATAAAAAATATTTAAAATAAAATATTAAATATTGTATAATAAAATATTAAATAAAATATAATAAAGGGAAAAAAAAAATTAATAGTTTATAAAATATCTTAAAAATAAAACAAAAAAATAAATAAATCTGATATAAAAATTATAAAAAAAAAATATATAATAAATTAAATAGATTTGAAAAAAAAAATATCAATAAATTTAATTTTTGTTTTAATAGGATTCAAATAAATCTAAATAAAAATGCTTAAATTATTAAAAATCTTCATCTTATAAATATTTAATATAATAAATTTATATATATAAATAAAAAAATATATATATACAAAAATATTATATATTTATATATTTATATATTTATATATTTATATATTTATATATTTATATTTTTATATATTATCATATTTTTATTTTTTTTATATTATTTAAATATTTTTTTATATATTTTTAAACCTTCTAATTCGAAATTTTAATATTAAATTTTAGTTTTTTTATCAATTTTTTCGTAAGTATTAAGTATTTCTTAAATTTCATTGCTGAAGCATGAACTTGAAAATAAAGTTGAATGAATAGGTAAATTTATTTCTTCCGATTTTATGAATTATAGCATTTAACAACATCTTAATTAAATATTTTTTCACAAATATTTTATTATAACATTAATAAAGAATCAATATTTTGTAAATCAAAAAATTTTGCAGATTTTGAATATTATGGAAGAGGTAAATTTCCTCTTAAAAAATAACTTTATGAATAAAAATTATTTTATATTTCACTACTACTGTATTTGTTTGAATATAAATAATTAAATTAGTTCGGTTAATTTGTTATTCGTAAACTTCGTATAAAGTTTTTTATTTTGAATTATCATTTAATAATGGTATTTAAAAGCTACTTTCGAATATATTATTCTATGGAAAAGACACTATATTGTTTGTAAATTCCCTTAATCCTATATTTCCTTCTTTTCTTCTATAATTTCCAGTAAAAGAGTCTAGTAAAATTCCAAAAAGTACATTTATATCAAATTAACTTAATTATGGATTTAAAAATTCAGTAAAATTTTGAATATTATCTAATTTTATTGGTACTAAAAGTGTACTTTTTTCTTAGAAACATTTTAATGAGAGAAATTCGTTTATAAATTGTTCATCTTTTTATTTTTTAGTTAATAAGTTTTCCCTATTTTTATTAAACGAGAAAGTCATTATTGGCTATTTAGAACATTCATCTTATACTAAATTCAAAACTTCATCACAGAATCCTCCAAAACCACTATTCGAGTCATAAAAAACTTAAAATCCATTTAATATGTCTGTTTCTTCTAACAATAATCTTATATAGTTTTCATTAATTTCAAACTTTTTTTTATTTAAGATTAAAAAATAAATTATGATTACATTTTCTTATTTTTTAGCTAATAATTATCCTTCTGGAAAACTTTCAAATTTTTAATCTAAAAGATAAGGTAGTTCTATTTAATATTTCTAATCAAATTATGTTTCTTTTAAAAATTAAAAATAAGGATTTTATTAATTTTGATTTTCCATTTATTATTCTTCTTCTTGTTAATTTATTATTTGTATTTTTTAATTCTGCCATATATTTTGGTTGCTTTTATCTATTTAATGTGCATTATTCTTTTGTTTCATAGAATTATTAAATTATAATACATCTAACTCGTCTTTGATTCCCCATACTATATTTCTAGGTGTTTTCTTCTCTAAATTCTTAAATAAACATGAATGCTCGATAGGATCGTTTTCTTCAAAAAATTATTAGCCCTTTTTTTTACATATAGATTTATATTTTTATTTTTTTACTTATATATAAAAATATAAATTGCCAATTCTTTGTGATAATGGACCAAATTATAAAGTAATTAGGTTTTGTGCCATTTATTTATATATTTTTTTTAATAATTTCTACAAGATATAATTTAATTATTTATTTATTTTTAATTATAAATTATTAATTAATTAAATTTTTTATTTTATAAAGCCAAAATTTTAATATTTATAAAATTAAATTTATTATAAATTATTTTAATAAAATGGAAAAAAATATAGAAATATACAATTATAATAAAAATAAAAATATTATAAATATATGAAATATATGTATATATATTGTATTTTAATAATTAAATAAACTAAATTTAATTTTTTAAAAAAATATTAATTTATTGAATAAATATATTAATGTTTTATTTTGTTCTGATTAATTTTTTTTTACATATTTAATAAAATCGCATCTTTAAATATTTTATTAATTTAATAAATATAATTTTTATTATATTTATAATAATAATAAGTTAACAATTCTAATATTTTTGTATTTTTTCTTTAATTTTTTTTTAAAACTAAATAAAAAAAGTACAGAAAAAAATTAAAACAGCTTTTTTGCTTATTTGAGTTTTTTTTAAAAAATAAATTAAATACAAAATATTCAAAATATGTAATATTATTTATTTGTTTTCAAATTATATATAGAATATTTAAATAAATCAAAAAATATTATTTATTAATAATTTTAAAATATACAAATTAAATTAATAAATAAAATAACCAAGAAAAGAATAAAAAAAATACATATTACTTTTAAATGCTTTCAACATAAATAATTAAATTAAATCTAATTTATCATTAGAAAAATATAAAAAATATAAAATAATACTATTTTAATCAAAACTAATTTCAATACAATATTTTATTAAAAAATATAATATTTAATATATGCCTTAGTTAAAAATTTAATATATTTCATTAATCTTCTTCTTCATTAATCCATCTAATTCTTTTACCATCAGCCCATTCTCCTGTTTTTTATTTTCCTTAAGCATTAATATAAATACCTTCACCATGCTTTTTTTTTAAAAAAAATAAATTTTTTCCAAAAAATTATTTTTAGTTTAATACTTATTTGCCATTTTACCATTATCCTTTATATTTTCTTCCATCTGGCCATTCAAATTCGCCATAACCATGCTTTTTATCTTCAACGTAATGTCCAATATATCTTCTTTCATCTAAAATTTAATAATTAATAATAGAAATAAATTAAAAAAAAAATATTTAAAAAATAAATAACAATAACAATAAAATTTTAATAATAAAAAAATATTATTTAAATTAATAATAATAATAAAAATCTATTATATAAATAAATTTATTTATATATAAACTAAAAAAATCAAAGAAAATATTTAAAAAAAAAAAATTAAATATATTAAATATATAATACCAGGCCATCTAAATTCACCCTCTCCATCCATTTTGTTATTTTTCCATTCTCCTTTGAAATTTCTTCCATCAGCCCAAGTATAAGTACCATATCCATGTATGTTGTTATTTTAAAATTCACCTTCATACTAAGATCCATCAGTCCAAAAAAATTTACCTTTTCCTTATTTTTTGCCTTTTTTTTAAAAAAAAAAACTTAAAAAAGCAAAAATAAAACTTTTACCTTAAACATATTATCCTTCATATTTAGCACCATCAGGCCAAATTTCAATTCCTTATCCTTCTTATTTATCATCAACCCATCTACCAATATATTTAGCGCCATCAGCATGAGTATAAGTTCCAAAACCGTCAGCTTTATCCTTTTACCATTCTCCTTCATAGACATCAGCATCAGAATGAATAAGCCTTCCTTTTCCATGAGCCATATTATTTTTCCAATAACCTTCATAAACAGATCCATCTTTCCAAAGTTATTTTCCTCGCCCATGTCTCATACCATTTTTCCATTATCCGATATAAACAGACCCGTTTTCAAGTTAATAAGGAGGCAATAAAACAGCTTCGTCATCACTGTATTAGTGTGCATCATAGACGAAAGGTCCTAATTTTTCCAATGTGTATTTTGTAGCATTATTTGTGTAGTCAGGTTCGTGGTCTATTGGTTCGGCAAACTTACTATTTGGTTTGTGCATGTTTATTGCAGTAGACGTGTTTTCTTTTGTATTTTAATGATCATCGGTCGGCTTTAAATCTGTAAAATCTTCATTATTTTAATGATGAACATTCATGTTTCTACCTAATTGTTATTAATTCTCGTTTCTATCATAATCTTCATTAGTTACTACTTTGTCAGGAACTTCGGTAGTACCTAAACCTTTTTAGACATCTGATGCACAACAACCCATTTTTTAATTTGTTTTTTCTTTTTTGTTAGTTTTAGTTTTTTTTTATATTTTGTTTTGTTTATTTTATTTTTTATATATATGTTTGTAATTATTAATTATTATTATTTTTTTTTTATATTTTTTTAAAAAATAAAAATAAAAAAATATTTATATATTTATTGGAACAATAGAAATAATTTTAAATGTATAACATAATATATTCATGATTTTTTTTCTAATAAATTAAATAATTAAATTTTATTTAATTTATTAAATATAGATTAAAAAATTTAGATAATAAAAACTAAAATTTTTATTTCATTTTTATAATTTTTGTTTTTTAATTAAAAACATCAGTTAGTTTTTTAACATAATTTATATAAAAAATTTTAATTATAATTTTATTAAATATATATTAATAGCAAGACAAAGAAATATTATAATAATATTAATTAATATTAATTTTAAAGTTTAAAAAAATTATTATTTATAGTTTTTTCATTTTTTCTTATTATAATAATTATTAGAAAATACTTTTATTATAAAAAAAATAGGTGTACAATTAATTATCATATACAATATGATAAAAAATATTACTTCATAATAAGGTAATTTAATAAATAAATAAACTAAATAAATATTTTATTTAATTATATTTAAGTAAAACAAATACAAAAAATACAAATTAAAAAAAAAAAAAAAATTATATTATTTTTTGCTTTTTTTAAAAGAATAATATATCATTAAAAAAATATGAAATTTATCTTAATAATTATAATTATTAATTTATGTTAATAAACAAATCAATAAATATATACATTAATTAATATTTTCTTATATTTATAAAATTTATGATTTAAAATATATAATAATTATACTAATAATGATTTTAAAAATCAATTACATAGTACATCTAATATATTATTTTAAATAAATACAAATTATATTATATAATCATATAAATAAAGTTGAATTCGATTATATTTATTTTAATTTAAAAGTTAGTTTTTTTTTAACTCAATACATATTTATATTAATAAAATTTTAATAATATTTTATTAAATCTAATTAATTTATAATTTTTTTATTTTATATTTAAAATTAATAAAAAAAATCTATAAATTATAATTTATTTATATTCGATATTTATTAATATTTCTATTTAAATTTTGAATTTAATATATAAAAATTATAGTTAATTTTATTAATTATAATTAATTTTAATAAACAATAATTAATTATAAATTGATAAAAATAATAATTTTACATTAATCATATTTATTTTATATAAAAAATAAATATATAAAATAATATTGTCTATTAAATATTATTTATTTATTCATACAAATATTTCAATTTTTTTTTTTAAAAAAAATTGTATTTTATTTTATAATATCTATAATTTTTTTAATTATTAAAATATTTTTCTAAATTTAAAATAATAAACTATACATTAATAATAATTTTATTCTTCACTTATAAGTTATTTTTATATAAAGCGTTTATTTTCACTATTATTAAAATTTTTTCCCAATATTTTTTTAACAAATATAAATTTTTCTCCTTTGTACATAAACAATTTTTATATTAAATATAAAATTTATTCAAAACTTAATATTTTTTAAAAAACAAAACAAAAATAAACACAAAAAATATAAATGAATACAATAAAATATTAATTATTAATTTAATATTATGTAATTTTATTTATGTTATTTTATAAATTAAATAATATTAATTATAATTATTTGTATACTTATATTTATTTATAATATTTATATTTAATAATTAATATATTTAATTTATATTAATTATTATATTATATTTTTATTTTATTTTTTTCTATATTTGTATAAGTTTTTGTGTTAATTCAATTTATTTAAATATATTTATATTAATAAATGAAAAAAAAATTATAGATATATATATATTTTTTGTTTCATGAAAAAGTATTAAATATAATAGACAAATATTATTTTTTATTGACTACTACAATATTTAATATATGTTTAAATAATAATTAAAAAAATAAAAAAATATCATAAATAAATAAATATAAAATATAAATAATTTATATTTTTTTTTTAAATAATTAATAATAAATCATATTTATGTGAATTTTAAAATTACTTATAATATTATAAATAAATAATTAACAAAAAAATTTTATAAAATATATTAAAAAATGAAAACATAATAATATTTTACTTAAATTTAATAAAATAATATATAAAACTATTGTCTTAATATAAATTTAGATTAATAAAATGAATTAAATATAGATTAGTTTTTTTAATTTAATAATGAAGAGTTATAAAATATAAAGTTTGAATAATCATAAAATAAAGAATTTTTAAAAAATTAAAATATATATTCTTCATTTATTTAAAATAATTAATAATAAAATTAATTAGAACAGATACAAACTCATATAATAACAGTAATAAATACTCAATAATCATATAAAAAGATAAATAATATATCATATTCAAATGTATGTAAATATTAATATATTGAATAATAAGAGACAAAAAATAATTTCGAAGAATACAAAAATCTTTTTCTATAAAATAATTATTTAAATTACTATAATAATTAAACATATAAAACTTAATATTTAGAAACGTGTAATTAAAATAGTAATAATTTTTAGTCTAAAAATAAAAAAAATACAAATTAATAATAATCTTTTGCAAAAATATAAAAAAGTACTAAAATAACATAAATAGGTATTTTAAATATTAAACAAGAATAAAGCTTTAGTAATACATTTAATAATAAAAATAACTAAAAAAAGAAAAGAAATATTGAAAATCCTTACAAAAATTATTTTTATCCTTCTTAAGTAAAAACTAAATTAGAAAATAAGTTCTTAAATGTTTTTTAAAAATGCTTCTAAATTGCTTGATTAGAATTAAAAATATATTTCTTAACATATAAATAGAGAAGAGTAGGATTAAATAAAATAATTAACTAAGCATTGGTCTTCACACGATAATCCTAAAAAAAGATGTAATATATCGAATTAATAATATTAAATTTTATGTTAAAATTACGATATAGATGTTAACATTAAACCTCTATGCAAAAAAGTTATTGACGAATTATTTTGTTTAAGAAATAATTGTAATAATTAAGAAAATAATAGTTAATTTAATAAATTTTGCTAAATTATAAGATTCTTATACGAATAGTTTAATTCAATGTCCTCTTTTTATGCTAAAAAATAAAAGCAACCTTTAATGAAAAAATATTATATAGAGATATCTTAATAGATCTATAACTATATTTTTCTTTAATGATATAAAATTATTTTATATTTTTCGTATTTTTATATATATTATTCGCATTAAGATTTATATTTTTATAAATTGATTTTATGTAACAATAAATTAATTTTTAAAAATATACATATAATTATAAAAAATAAAATATATAGAGCTTAATCTATTGTTTTAAAATTAATTTATTTTTGAATAATGTTTAAATATGTTGTTTATTTATTTAAAAAAATAGATTTAAGAAATCATCTTTTTAAAAAAAATATTGACAAATTATTTTTAAACAAATATTATCAAAAGAAATTTAACTACAGTTAATAAAAAATAAAACATAATGATTATAATTAATAAAAAATATTAAAATATAAAAAAAATTAAATATAATATTTATTTTTATGTTATATAATATTATCGTATTAGGATAAAATTAAATAAAAATTAAATTTATTTTATTTTATATAATATAATTTATTATATTAACAATTAAATAAATAACATATTTTAATCATATATAATTAATTTTGAATAAAAAATGAAATATCATTTTTAAATAAAATAATTTTATTAAAAAAATTAAAATTATATTGTATTAATAATAATTCGCAAGTAGATATATATAAATATGTATTATTATTAATTTTATAAATATAGTTATATAATATTTTAATATAATATAAAAAAATAATAAAAATAGATAATTTTTTCAGCCATATATTTCAAGTAGAAACTTTTATTTATTAAAAAATTGATTAATTTTATTATATTATTAAAATGCAAAAAATTATAATAAAATTATTTAAATTTATTAATATAAATAATAAACACATTTCAAAATTTTATTATTTAAACAATAAGTTATACTAAAAAAAATCAATAAAAAGAATATAAATAATTTATATTACTTATTTATTTAAATATTTAATTTTTATAAAGAAAAATTAACTTTTAAAAATAAATAAAAAATTGATAAATTATATATAAAAATAAATTGATATAGTATAAAATTAAAAAATATATAATAATTATTGCAAAAAATTACATTATTATTAAATCTACAAAATAATAATTGTTTGTTTTATATTTTATTATCATTAAACCTCTTAATTTAAAATATTTTAATATTCATTTTCATTATTATTATTTTTTATTTTTTTAATTTTTTTTTCAGCTTAAAACTATTAAAATTAATAAATGTTATAAATAAATAATAAAAATACTTTAAATCTTCCTAATTATTTTATTATATTTAAGTAATAGTTTAGTAATTGCCATAAAATCCTTGGATTTCTTTTGATTTAATTTTTTTTATTAAATTTAATATTGTGCTTTTAGAACTTCCTTTTTATTTAGCAATAATTTCGGCTACTTAATATTTGTTTTTTAATTAAGGATTATATTTTTAATAAAAAAATCTATAATTTCTTCCACTTGTTTTTACTAAAATTAAATTTATTTCTTTTTTTCTTTTTTTATTATTTCTAGGTATCTAATTATTCATTATCATTAATTAAAGAATTTGTAAAATTATTTTTTTCTTTTTTATTAATTAAAATAAAATATTTTTTCTTTTTATAAATTTTAATTTAATAACCTTATTTAATGCATTATTTTTCAAACTATTAATTAGTAATTTAATTATAAGTATTACTTTCTTCTTATTATATTTAGTTTTATGACTTTATTAATTTATCTTACATAGTAGTTTAGATTTTGCATTTAACTAATCCCAATAACCCATTAATTTATTTTATTAAATTATCTTCTAAATATTCAACCATATTAAAAGATTTTATTTGAAATTCTTGTTATATAGTATTTGCAAAATCTATAAGTGTATATCCTAAAGAATTTTAAAGTGTTTTTATATATTGTAATAATTCTTAAGAATCCATGATATAAATTTATATTTTTAGCTTAAAAATTAATATCTTAATTATTATTATTAAATATTTAATATATTAATTATGTGTTTATATTTTATTAAAAAATATAATTTTTCTTTCTAATTTTTTGATATTTTTATATAAATAATATACGAATTAATAAAATGAATTTAAATAATATTATTATTTTTTGATAAATTATTAATTTTCTAATATAAATTTTATCCTATTATATTTTTCCAAATAAAATATTATTTCTTTTTAATATTTTTCCTTTTAAATATACTCATTTTATATTTTATATTATTAACAAAAATTAAGATTAATTTTATATTTTATAATGAGAAAGCTAAATAAAAAACAATAAAATATAAAATAATTTTTTATAATATGTTTTTAAAAAAATATTTTAATTAATATATAAATTAATGAAATTCCAATAGATTTAAATAGTATTTTTAAATGATTATAATTATTGTATATAATTAAAAAAAAACTCTATATAATTAAATAAGTGATTATTAATCAAATTTGTATATTAAATTACAAATTTAAATATAAAAAAAATTCAATAAAAATTATTTAAATAAAAATATAAGTTAAATAGTAGACATTATTTTAATTTTTAAATAAAAAATAAAAATAAAATAAAATAAATAATTAAAGAATATAATTATTTACATTAATTATTTACATTTATTAAATTAAATAAAAATAATTTTTTTTTTAATAATTAATAAAAATATATTAATTATAATCAAAAAATAATTCAAATTAAATTGGACTTTGTTATAAAATATATAAAAAAATAAATTATATAATAAAAGCAAAATAGAGGATTCAAAGTTATATAAGATAAAAAAATGATTTAATTTTAATCAAAAAAGTAAAAATATTAGTTCAATTGTTTATGTTTAAAACTTATTTAACTTTTAATATTAAATACGAATGAATAATTTTGAATAATCAAAATATAAATTAATAAACAGAAAAAAAAAAAATATTAAAGAAACATAAATTTATATAATTTAAGAAACAAACATTATTAATATATTTATACTTACGAAAAAAATTAGAATCTAAATAAACTTAATAAAAACATTTTTATAATTTAATATGAAATAACTTAATAAAATTTTATTAATTTTAGTTAAAGAATTAAAAAAAAGAAGTATGATAATTTTGATTTAGCTTTTTAACAAGTTAAAAATTTTGGTATGAATTATTCATTCTTATTTCTTTAAAATTTTTTTTAAAAATTTCATAAAAAAAAATAATAAAAAAGGAAAGTAAAAATAAATAATTAATTACCTTTTATTTTTAAAATAAACATTTTATAAAAAAATTGCATAAAATATAAACAAATAAATAGTAAATTGTAAATTACCTTTTAAAAACAAATATAAAAAAACATGTAATAATAATGATTTTAATTAGAAAATTTATCATAAAAACAGAATTAACTTCATTTTAATATTTATTTAATATTTTCTTGCTAAAACTATGAAGTAAATATTAATAATTTATAAAGGAATACCAGTTATTTTATAAATAAAATTAATATTAATATTTTGTAAATTATATTAAATCAGTAATTTATAAAAAACTTACTTTTTATATATAAGAAATAAAATAGAGTTAGAAATCTTATGTATTATAGCCTTTGAATTTTTACTTTTTCAAATTTTTTATAAATATATAGAAAATATGTATGAAGGAAGTATCATTTTTAAAAATAAAAAGAAATATAAAATAAAGAATAAAATAAAAAAATAAAAAAATTTAATAATTAAATTAAACAAAATAAACTTTAAAATAATTAAATTTTACAAAAAATAGAAGAGTATAAAAATAATAAATATAGTAATATATTAAATAAAATTATATTTCATAAATTAATAAAGATTTAATAAACCAAATGAGTTTAGAGATATTAAGTTTGTAACTTTTATATTTTAAATTATTTATATATATATATTATTAAAATCTATAGATATACTTGCATAGATATTAATATTAAATAATTGTGTTGATATATTAATTTAATTAATTGATTAAGTTTATTGTATTATTCATAAATATTATTTTGGTTTTGTTATTTAATTGTAAAAATTTTTGTTTTTTGATGAGTCATTTATAGTTTTTAATCTTTATAATTTTAATATAAATTAAATAGTTTTTTAAACTATATATAAAAAAATAGAATTTTAAAACATAAAAATGAAATTAATTTTATATATTCTTTTGTTTTTAAGTAATTGCTTATAGTTATTGTCAATACCTTTTAAAATCATAATCTTAATTTATATATATATATATACATGAAAAAAAAAAAATTCTTTGATTTTTAACTCTTATAAAAATATATAAAGAAAATAGAAATAAATATAATATTATTTATTTTCTATACCTTTTAATAGAAACTAAAAACTAAAATATAAATAATTATATAAAAAAGCAATGTTATTTAAATTTAATAATTATAAATAAAATATAACACCAGATATTCCAGTTGATGAAGAACTTTTTTGTCCTTTTTATTTTAGATGCAACAGTTAATGTTTAAGATAAAGTTATTTATATGATTATGGAATAGCAGGAACATTGATGATTTCGTCTCTTCTTTTTTCAAGTTATTATATAATTAGGCATATGTAATATTATACTAATCCTCATTTTCAATCTAAAATAATTGGTATATATTGGTTCGAAAATATACTAACTAAAAAAAAGTTATTTTATTAATGGCTCCATTTTATGCAGTTGTATCAGTACTTTCAATTACATTTCCTGTAATAAAATAATAATAATATTTTTACAAATTAATAAAATAAATTTAAAAAGCATGGAGAAATGTATCTCACATTAGTTAGAGATGTTTATGAGGCATTTTTGCTTTTCACATTTTTTTATTTGATTTTTTCATATTTAGCATATGATGAAGAAACAGTAATTAAAGAATTTTAATTATACGTTATTTTCTTCTTTTTTTTTTTTTTTAAAAAAAAAAAAAAACTAAAAAGGAAGTTATTATTGATGAAAGATTGTATACAGTAATGTGTTAACATGAAAAGGAAATATGCCATATGTGGCCAGTAAATAAATGCATAAAACCATATAAATTAACAAGGCAAAATAAAATAAAAAAATATATTTATTTATAAAATATTATGTTATATTTAATCTCATATTTAGCAATGCTAAAGCAAAGTATTTCACCTATAGATGTAAAAAGTATGTTTTGTAATTTTTTGTTTTAAAGCCATCTTGTTCTATAATTTTATTAGTTTTGACTATTTTTATAAATGAAGACACTAAAATTATTGTAATTTATTTTAAATTATTTATATTATTAAATTAATAATTAAAAGAATGGTTTAGCATCGTTATTAAGATGGCTTGTTTCTATCTCTGTTAGTTATTCATTATATTATTTAGTATTATTTTATTATTCTTTAAAAAAACCGCTTTCTCCTTACAATCCTTTACTTAAATTTTTGACAATAAAAATAACTTTATTTTTCACTTTTTGGTAAAGTCTTGTCTTGGGAATTATTAAAAACCCTTTGTTAAATTGTTTTGATAAAAATTCTTATTTCTATTCTGAACATAGAATAATTAGTGGCATAGAAGTAAAAATTATTTTTTTAGGGACTTTTTTAAAAATTTTATAAAGAATACATTAGTATGTTTGGAAATGGTTTTAATGTCTATTGCTGGAGGAATTGCATATAGTTATAAACCTTTTATGGTAGGAATGATTAAATAAGGAAATATTATAGATGTTTTTAAAGAAAATATAACGACTTTTAAAAAAGATTACAGATTAATTAAACCTAAGAAATTTGGTTTTAAAGGAAATTATAAATAAGTCGATTATATTCCTAAATATAGATAATCAATAGAATAAGAAATAGAAATATAAATATATTCAAGTGAAAAAGATTTAACAAAATCTTTATTGTAATCTTACGTTTGAAAAATAAAAATATTGCTTGTTCAAATTATTTTTTTAAATGTTCTGTAATTTTTTAAAAATATTCAATTAACAAAAAAAAGATAGTATAAATAGTTAAAGCCTTTTTTTGTATATTTTTTATAAAAAAAAAAAACTATAAAAATAAATAAAAAATAAAATCATAAAATAATATATATATCTAATAAGAATATAATTTTTTTTTTAACTATAAACATTTAAATATAGCAATTTTAACTCAAGAATTACTAAGTAAAATATATTTTTGTTCTATTGTATAATAATAGTAAACAATTTTTTTACATGTTAAAGGAATTATTTTACTTAATTTAATAATAAATAAATTATAAATGGTTAGTTTTAGTAAATATATTTAAAATTATTTATATAAAATTTAATATTTAGATATGCAATTATAGCTTTTACAATTTTTTTTATTAATTTAGTAAAATGAATAGCCTTTTAATATTCTAATATTAAAAATAATTTTTTATTTTAAAATTAAAATTAATTCTTTATCATAAATAGTGAAAAAAGTCAATTTTTTAGCAATTATTGCTGAAAATTAAAAAATAATATTTTATTATAATAACATCTAAACAATTTATAAAAAAAAAAAAAAATATTATTAATATTAATTAATATTATTTAAAATAATAATTATGATAATAAATAAAATAAAAATATAATATTATTTTAAATAAATATTTTAATAATTACTTGTTATTTTGATTTATTAATTAAATTTATAAAACAATATAATTAAATATTTCTGATTTTATTTTAAGATATTAATAAAATAATTATTATTTTAGTCTAACTTTATTAATAATATATTTTTCAATAATATATAATAACATTTTTCGGATTAAATTATTTTTGTGTGTTTTAATCTAAATAAATAGATTAATTAATATCTATTTAGCACGTATAAATTAAAAATAAAATTTAATATAAAATAAATAAACATATTAATTTATATAATTAATAAGAAAATTATAATAATAATTAATATATTATTATTATTATTATAAAATAAAATGAATTAGAATTTATAATTTGATATTAATTAATATTCAAATAGATAATTAGTTGAAGGATGCTTATAATTTTTATATGAAGCCTTGTAAGAATTTTTGAAAAATTATTTATAATAAAAAATTTAAGATACAACCGATTAGCTAAAAAAAAAGAATTATAAAAAGTAAAATTATTTTAAATAAAAAAATTCCTTTTAAATCGTAGGTTTTTGAAAAAGATCTATTAGGTTTATTATCTTATTATATCCATAATTATGATGATGTTACAATGCACTATAATTTGGGCGATAAAAGATTAATTAGAAGTAGACTTTTTGAGTTAAAATAAATAAGAAACGATTATGCTCATTCAAAAGCATTTGATAAATTTAGAGATGTAATAAGGTTGTTTATTTATTTATTTTTACGATTTAAGGAAATAAAATTTATATATAAATAGAGTTTATGATACATGCTTGTATTTTTTTGAAGAATTGGGAATGCACGAAAGTTACCATTTGTATTAAAAATTAAACTAAATTAGAGAAGAAATGATTATTAAAGAAGCTTAGTTTATTTGGAATAAATAGAATGATTAAAAACAAAATTAATTTTAAAATAATCAATAAAATAAATTCAATAATGTTACTAATTAATATGAATTTCTTGATAATAATTAATTTAATTTTTGATTAAAAATACTCCTTTTATTAAAAAATAAAAATATTCATTTTTTATTGCTCATATAAAAATAAAAAAATTAATATAGATATGATTATAAAATTATATAAATGTTTGTTTATGTTAATAAATTAAATTAAATTTAATTCACATTAAAAATATATTATTAATAAATTTCATTTATTTATATCAACAAACAATAAAAAAATATTATATTTAATATAAAATTTAATTAATAAATAATATTTAGTTAATTTTTTTTTTTTTTTTTATAAAAAAAATTAATTATAGCTGTTTTAATATTTTATTTTATATCATAATTATTATAAATATTTTGATAATAGTAGAAGTATTATAGATTATGTAAAAAATTAAATTAGTATAATTATTTAATATATTCGTAATTAATTATAAAATTAAATAAATAATAAGAAATAATTACTAAAAGTTGAATTATTAATATGAAAACAAAATAATATAAAGTTTTTATAATATTATTATTATTATTATTTATTATTTTTTGTTTATATTTTATTTTTATCTATAAATTCATAAATTCTTTTTCAATTTTTTTTTATTTAATTATGATATTATTAAATTATACATTTACTATTTAATTTACATGATACTTTTAATTCATATAAAATCTTTATAAATTCCTTATTCTTTTTTTTATTTATTAATATTAAATATATTTTATCATTACTATAATCTAATCTTTTTTATTATAAATATATTTTAAATTATAGATAACATTTATTTTTCTTTATCTAAATTTAATATTATATTAATGCTTTTTAATTTGTCTTTTTCTTTTTAACTATCGATATATAACTAAAAATACAATATTAATAAAATGCTACTATTATAGTAATTTGAATGGATTTTAAATTGTTATAAAGTTGAATTATTTTGTAATTTACAAAGTTTTTATATTTTATATTAAATTGCCTTTACTTTGAATTTTATTTTTCTATAAATTAAATATTAATATTATATTCTGCAAAACCAAAACTAAATATATATAGTAATTCTTATTATACTTTTTATTACTTACTTTTATTTCATATTTTATTGTTGTTGTTGAAAATAATTCTCTACTATTCTTATTTATAACTAGTCTTTTATAGTTTTAAAAATATTTTAGATTAAAACTAATATCTTTTAATTTGTTAAAATTAAAAAAAACAAATCAAAACAGTTACTTAAATTTATTTAAAAAAATATTATATTAAATATATCCAAAAAGCTCGCAAAAAATAATTTTTCCTAATAATAATTCTCTCATGTAACTAAGAAAAAAAATCTTGTTTTTTTGGATAAAAAACACTTATTTTTTACACAAATCTTATTTTTTGATAACTTTTTACATTCTAATCATATTATATTTTCCTTATAGTAAGATAAATTATTTATTAGATTAAAAATTTTATTTGCAAGTTTCTGAAAATTAGAATCACTTGTTTAATTTTTAATAAAAATCTATTGATTTAATAAATTTAAAGAGGATTTTTCTATTGCTTGTTTTACATTTGATTTGATTATTCAATTGAATTATTTTCTTTTTTATTATAGAAATGTGTTGTATTTACTAATATATTTATCTTTATTATTGTTAGTGTTTACAAATGCAGAAGGGATATAAATTACTTTTCCTATTGGTTTGTGTTTTCATATTTCTTTTTGAATATTTCGAATTTTCATTTTTTATTATTTATTTTCTTAATTCGGATAAATTATTGTTTTTGACTAATTAATATTAGTTACTTTAATATTCATATCCGCACTAATGTTTACTTTTGGTTTAACATCTATATTTATTATTTATTTAATTTTAATTTAGTTTATTTTATTTAAATTAATTTTTTAAAATAAAAGTATATATATTTTTTTTATTTATAAAATTTTTTATATTTTTTGTTTCCTTTTTATATTTTTATAATTATTCTTTTCATATAAATTTAATTATTTTATAATTATATATTTTCTGTTTTATTATATATATATATATACTAATTTTTGATATATTCTAGATTCTAAAAATATATTTTTTAGAAAAAAAAAAATATATATATATATTAAATTTTAATAATTTTTTATATCGAATAAATCTGTTTTTAAAAATAAATAAAAAAACATAAAATTAGTATCAATTATATATTAGTTTTTTTCTAAAAAAAAATCAATTAATCAATCAAATCACTTTCTTCCTGCAAATTCATTAGCGGTTTTAACAGCCAAAGCAGCCGAATCACCTAAATCCTTTCCAACTCTAATTGAAATTTTGGGATTTTTTTAGGTAAATTCAAGTAAGAGATTTCTTCCAACTTCAGCCTAATTACCACTTAATCTAACTACTAAAGGCACTCTCAAGTCAACCAATTAAGCAGCTTTAATAATTCCCTCGGCAATTAATTTACAACTAAGAATTCCTCCGAAAATATTAATAAAGACAGTCTCTACATGAGGATGAGAATTCAAAATTTCGAAAGCAGTTTTGACCTAATCAACGTTTGCACCACCACCAACGTCTAAGAAATTAGCAGGGTTACCTCCATTAAGTTTAATAATATCCATTGTACCCATTGCAAGTCCTGCACCATTTACCAAACATCCAATATTGCCATCCAAAGCAACATAAGCAAGTCCTGATTTTAAAGCTTTCTCTTCATGAGGGTCTACATCTTCTGAAGCAAGTGAACTTTTTCTTAATTCAACTAATTTTTGTTATCTAAATTTAGCGTTATCATCTATATTTATTTTTGCGTCGACACAATATAATTAGTCTTTTGGATCAGTTGCCCAAGGGTTAATTTCTACTTAAGTAGAGTCCAATTTATTAAACATAGTATATAAGTTTCTGATTTATTCTTTTGCTTAATCTGCTATGTGCGTAATCTCTAAAGATTTTATTACATTTTGTAAGTTTTCATCAGTTAATCCAACATCAGGGTTCACTAATTCTACTATAATACTCTTAGGATCAGTTTTGGCGACTTCTTCGATATCCATTCCTCCGTTTTTACTGGCTATAATAGCAGGACAAGAAGAATTTCTATCTAAAATAAAAGCAATATAGAGTTATCTAACTATATCTACGCCTTCATGAACTAGTACTGCGTTTACTTTTAAGCCTTTTTTATATTTATTATCGTATTATAGTATATTTATATGTATATTATACCTGCTTTGGGGGTTTGGTGAGTTATCAAATTATATCCCGTAATCATTTATTTAGCGTATTTTTCAATTTCTTCGGGGGTTTTTAAGACTTTTACACCACCTTTTAACCCTGATGTAAGATGCCCTATTTTTTTTTTTTATATTATGTATATTTTTTTTATACCTTTTCCTCTACCACCTGTGTGTACTTAACATTTAAGAATTAAACCGCCAGATGGGTCTAAAGGAATAGATACTTTTTTGGCTTCTTCAGGGGTTAAAGCTATAGCTCCTCTTTGGACTCTAACTTTAAAACTTCTCATTATGTCCTTGGATTAATACTCGTGGAGATCAAAGAACTTCTTGCAAGTGTTGTTGAGAGAAATGTTATTATTTTTGGTTAATTTGAATATTTTTGAGAACATTTTTTTTTATTCTTTTTATTTTTTTCCTCTTATATAAAATATATTTTTATTTTTTATTTTATTTAATATAAATATGGATATTTTTTATATATAATTTATTTATTAAAAGAAAATAATTATTTTTTGAAATTATATTAATATTTATAAATTTCTAAAAAAAAATATATAAAAACACGTATATATAGTCTTAATAATACTTAAAAAAATGAAAAAATATTTAAATTCTATAAAAAACAAAAATATTTAATGTAGTATTTATTAAAAAATCAATAATTTTAAATTTTATATTAATTTTTACTTTTTATTTTTTTATATATTTATAATTAAAAACATATTATAATGCTAAATGCTAAAATTTTATCGTTTTTAAATTACAATTTATTGCAAATTTATATAAAAATATTAATAAATAAAAAATAAATACTTAAATAAAAATATAATAATATTTAATTTTAAACTTATTTATTATACAAATATAAAAATTTATTTTTTAAATAATATTCAATTGATATTATTAAAAATTATAATTTAAAAATACATTGTTTTAGGATTTATTGCTAATTATATACATTAAGCATTTAATAAATAAAAATAAACTATATTTTATGATATATTTTAGTTTCAAGTACGTAAAATAGTATTAATAATTATTAAGTAATATTTATATTAGATAAATAATATTTATTTTATGTACATAAGTTATTTATTTAATTTAATTTATTTGATTTTTATTTATATTTTAAAAAATAATATATAATTAGTTATACTAGTTATTCACATTAAATTTTATGAAGATTTTTGAAATATAATTTTTCATTTTAATTTAAATAAAAAATGATATTATAATTATTATATGAATATTATTAATTCATAATTTAAGTATATAATTATTTTTTTAAAATGAAAAATTATAATTACTATTAATTAAAATTATCAATAAATAAATAAAATGTAATTTCATATTTATACTAAATATGAAAAGTTAAAAAATTTCAATGTTTTTTTTTAGTAAATAAACTAATATATTAATTTATTTATAGATTTAAATAAAATATTAATATATTAGAATTCTTTAATATTTTAATTAATATCTTTTTAATATTTTTAAAAATATATTTTATTGCTTTTTTAAGTTAAAATAATCGAAAACTTTTATAAAGTGTTTATTTTGTCAATTATTTTTTATTAATTTAATATTTATAGACTGTATTCTAATTAAAAAATTATTATATATTACATAAAATAAAAAATTTATTTTATTAATATTATTAACATAGTAAATTATTAATTAATATAAATAATATTATTATTTAAAATATTTTCTTTAAATTTAAAAAGTAATAAATTATTTATTTATATTATGAATTTATTTACTTGAATTTAGTTATTTCAATTTTTTTTAAATATATTTTTGGTTTTATTTAATTTTTTATATATATTTGTTTTTATTTTATTAAAAAATAATAAAAGAATATCTAAAAAGAATAAAAAGAAATGATAAATGATATAATATTAGAAGCAATTTATATTTTTATAAGCTAATTAATTAAAATTTATAATTACAAACAATAAAAAAATATTTTTATTTAATAAATTTCATTCATTCAGAAAATTATATAAAATTACTTGAAAAAATATTCTGCTTCTGATATAAAATAGCGTTAGGAATCAATAGATTATTTTATAAATAAATTATATAAATAGGCTTATTTAAAATAATATTAGTAATTTATTTTTTTTACATAAAAATATTAATTATAAAATTGAAATAGAATTAGTAATTTACAAAAAAAAAAAATTAACATTAGATATTTAAATTGTATATGAAGAATTATAAATTGCATTTGAAATTCCATGAAAATTTGATTAACAATTTAAAAAAAGTAATAAAAGAATAAATGATAATAAATTATTGTTTTTGAAAATAAATAAATTAAGATAAAAAATAGGAAATGATTCTATTAATAATTGATGAACTATTTAAATTAAAATAAATTACAGGAAGTTATATTATTTTATAAATTTAAAAAAAATAAAAAAATAACATTATTTTTATTTAACAATTTTTAAATATAATTAAATAATATTTTTATATATATTAATGCGACTATATATATATATTCTTTTGATTTTAATAATATTAATACAAATATAATAATAATATAAAAAAAAAGTATATGAGTGTAAACAAATAAAATGTAAAATTTATTCAAAAATTATAATAAATAATAATTAAAAAAAAAGTCTAACAATAATTATTATTTAAGCTAAATTTAAATGAATGAAATAAAAGAAAAAAAAAATGAAAATCAAAATAAAAATAAAAATGAAAATAAAAACGAAAATGAAAATGAAAACTAAAATGAAATTGAAATTGAAAATGAAAATGAAAATGATAATGATAATGATAATGAAAATGAAAATGAAAATGAAGAATAAAAGGAAGAATTTAAACAAAACGGACATAAAATTGAATAAATATATATATTTTTCTGTTTAGCAGCGATACTATCAAATTTTGCTACTGGAGTAATACCCGCATCATTAATATAAATGGAATAAGAATTAAAATTGACGTTTAGTTAATAAGCATCTATTGGTATTTTTTAATATATATTTTTTAATATATTTTTTCATAAAATAATTAAAAAATTAAAATAAATTAATATAAAATAAATAAAATAATATAAAATAATATAAAATAAAAAGGTTCACTCGAATATTTAGGTGTATGTGTATCAACATTTTTTGTAACATTAACAGTAAATAAGTTTAGTTTGAATCATGTATTATCATTAAGTGTTTTTTTAAACGGATTTTTTAGTTTAATAATAGCATTAATGTCAAATATATATTTTATATTACTTTGTAGATTTGGTTAAGGTTTTTGTACAGGATATATATGCATATATGGACCTATTTGGATAAATCATTATAGTCCAAAAACTAAAATAGCCACATGGCTAGGACTTATGTAAGCATTTGTACCTTTAGGAGTTATGTTAGGATACACTACAGCGGCTTTATTAATAAATATTACAGGTTGGAATTTTAGTTGGAGATTAGGATTCGCTTCTATGTTTTTATTTACTAGCATCGTAGCCTTATATTTTTTATTATAGGATAATAAAAATTTAGATATTCTTTATTTAGAGAAGAAAGGATTAAAAAAAAATTAAAATTTTTCCAATAATAATTATTAGACTGAATCTTTATAAGAAAGTAAAAATTTAATTTTTCATTAGAATTAAACCTTTACTTAGGGATTTTTAGAAACTTTGAAATAATATGGTGTAAAATAATTATTTTTTATAAAATAAAATATTATTTTTTAAAAAATAAAATAAAAAAATAGCCTATTCTCAAAAACAATATTTTCATATATGTGTGTATCGGATTATGTACTTTATTTTATATTGTAACAGGTATACAATATTGGGCAACTGAATATTTTATTAAATTTTGTCGAGTTTCTAGTAGTTAAGCAATGTTTTCTTTCAGTATAATAGCTATCTCTGGGCCTACTTTTGGAGCTATTATTGGGGGAAAAATATCTGATAAACTTGTATTAAAAATATTTCTTAAAATTAATATATAAAAATATTAATTAAAGGGTGGATATAAAGGTGAAAATAGAATAACAGCGTTAAAATATTGTGTTTCTGTAGGTTTAGCAGCTTTATTATTATGTATTCCTGTTGGATATGTATTTGAGTTTTGGGAATTAATAGTTTTGATTTGGTTTTTATTAGCTTTTGGGGGGGCTTTAATACCAAATGGTACAGGAATATGTTTAAGCTGTTTACCGAAAGTTTATCATTCTACTTGTAGTTCACTTTCTTAATTAATTTATAATATAGGTGGCTATTTTCTATGTCCATTACTTTCAGGATGGATTATGGATAGATTCGAAGATAAAAATTAAGGACTAGTGTGGGGTTGGAGAAGTGTACTTTGTGTAGGATTAATTACACCATTTTTTTTTGTTACTGCACTTAGGAATGAAATGAAAAATATTGAAAATTAAGAATTTGAATATATTGTTGAAAAAAGAAAAAAAGCTTATACGATTAATTGATTTTTTTTTAAATATATATTACTTTTTAGCAAGAATTTTCGTTATTTTTTTTATAATTATTTTTTAAAAATTAAATCAAAAAAAAAAAAATAATCCATTTTCTGTATTTTACATTTTATAGATTGTGTATCTTTAAAACATATTATATTGAATTATTAAAAATTAGATTTTTTAATAGTTAAAAAATAAAAAATTTAATGTATTTTTATATTTAATAACCTTTAAAAAAATCAAAACAAAAATTAATTTTTAAGAATACAATATATAATATAATAATATATATTTAAAAAAAATATTTAATTATCCTTTTTTTAGTTAATTGAATTAAAAAAAAAATTAAAAGAAAAAATATGAATTATAATATAAATAATAATTAAAAAAATATCTTATTTATTTCATAAAATTTTTTTAAAATGTTCAGATATTTCATCAAATTCTAAATTTTAGAATAAATTTTTAGTTATTTCTAAATTTTTATTGTTTTAACTAATTTTCTTAAAATAAACTTTTTTCTCAAAAACAGAAAATTCAAATAAGTTTTAAGTGTATTTAAAAAAAATTGAATATACTTATTAATTAGGCCAATTTAATAATTAATAATTATCTTATTTATAAATACTTTCGTTTTTTACTTCTTCAATTAAAACAGTACAAATAATGGAATAAAAATTAAAATTATTAGATTATAAAATAGAGTTAATATTGCTCAATAAAAATAAAGCATAAGTTATCTTTTTTTAATCCTATTAACATAATATATCTAAATCATCAACAAAAAAAAAATTGGAGAATTTTCTTATATTAAATAAGGAAAGGAAATTAAATATTATATAAATTCTATGTAGTTAAAGAGATATTTCATTTTTATTTTTTCAAGATTTTCAATATTTAATTCTTATTAATATTCTTTTCGACCAAATAATAATTTATCGCCTAAATCTATTTTATTTTAATTACATAAAAATATTCCATATTAATTGTTTATTTATTTTGATATAATATAAGCGTAATGAAGTAATATGGTAGTTTTGTATTGGTTTTTTTAACCAAATAATATACAAGGTTAATGTAAATTTAATATTGATTAATTTTATAACATAAATATTAAAGATTTAAAAAATTATAAACAAAAAAATATATATAAAAAAAAATAATTAAAAAATTTAAAGATTTTGTAATTATTTATATATTTATATATTTAATTTTTTATTTATTTATTTATTTATTATTTATTTATTTATTTATACTATTCTTATTTAATATTAATATATTTTATATTATAATTATATCAAACTATCTTGATTTGATTAAATTAAATAAATTTATCATTTAGATCTATCCATTAGCCTTATTATTATAAATTTTATATATTTAAAACAACAGTTTCTCCTGGAATATTATTATTATTTTAAATATTTGGTGTTACATTAGGATTAAACAATTAGCAATTTAGAAAATTTTTAAAAAAGAACGCTCTAAAGAATTAAATAACATCTTCTTTAGAAACATTATCCATTTCTTTTATAATATTATTATTTTCTTAAAAATCAAAACTCTAATTTTATATATATTTCCAATAATATTATGCTTTCTCTTTTAAATTCTAAAAATTTAATCTCAAATTTTATTTAGTACTTTCTTTTAATTCTAAAAATGTTTTTTGATCCATTTATTTGAGATATTTTTCACCGAAATCATTTACCATAATAGCTATTTCTTTCTTATAAACATCAGGTGTATTTTTATATCCTTAAACAATTACATAATAAATAAAAATATCTTAAAAATTAATCAACTTACCAGAAACTATATATCCTAGTTATAATTAAGTTCTCAATTTTTCAAATGCATAACTATGTAAAGGTTTTTATATTATTTTTAATATAGCTCTTTATTTTATATTCATTTTGCCAAAATAAAATATTGTTGCTCCTATGTTATTTTTATTATCTCTAGAAGAGTATAGATTTTTAAAAACTATTTTTTATTGGGGAAAAGAGAGTATTTTTAAAATAATATTTTTTTAAGATTATATATTATTTTTTAAATTAGAAGTTAATTGAAGGAAAGAGTTTTTGATTAAACTTTCTTGGACATTTCCAAAAGCATAAAAAGTTAAATAAAAGGAGTTTTTGAAATTATTTTAAAATTAATTGAGCTTTGGGAAATCTAAATTTTCTATATTTTATAAAATTTCTTTTTTGTCAAAGTAGTCTTTTATGAAAATTTTTTATAAAACTTCAGTAATAAATTACTAAAATAATATTTCATTTTCAAATTCTTTTATTTAATTTTAGATTTTTTTCTTGTTTTTTTCAAAATCTTCTTCCTTTATTTACACTTAGTTTAAACTTTTTGATATTTCCTTTATTATTTCTTCCTGCAAAGAATCGAAAGTTTCCAAATACATATCGAATCCTTCTTTATTTGATTTTATTTCATATACAAGTCCATTAATTTCATATTTAAAAAGATTTTTTTTTAAAATCATTTGGAATTCATCGACAAAAATTTCATTTGATATTTTATTAAAAATATCTTTTTTAACTAACTCGTGAGTAAATTATAAATAGATAACCTATTTAGGCTATTTAAATTCCATTTTACTTACTTAAATGAGTAATCTTCCGTTTTCGTTGCTCAAAATAACTTAAGGAGTTTTAAAATCTTAAAATGAATTGTCAATATCGTCCAAAATAGTATCTTTTAAAATAGGGAAATTTTTCTAAGGTACTAATTCGAATTTTTTTTGGAAATTTAGAAAATCTGAAAGTTCTTTTTCGTTTAAAAATGTTTAAGTAAAAGTCAAATCCTAAAGTTTGTTTTCTTATAAAATCATATTTTTGAAAAAACTTTCGTTATTAGTATTATGAATAATAATTATTTTTTCGGGATTATTTAAAATATGTATTATTTTTTCGAAGTAGAAAATATTAAATTTTTTCAATAAATTCTTAAAACATAAAACTTCTTTGACTATTATATTTTAGTTTATTATTTAAGAAAATTCACTCAATTAATCCATTACTTTTTCTTCTTATTAATTTTATAAAAAAAATAATTTTTCGAGAATTTCTTTAATTTGATAATATTTTTCCTTTTTTTCAGATATTTTTTATATTTCTTGTACATAATAAAAATATATTTTTATTATTTCTTATATGTCATTTTTTGTCTCATTTAATAGCTCTATTTATATTTAAAATACCAAAAATTTACTTAAAGTAGTAATCTCTTATTCTATATCTACTTCACATTTGCTTGATAGACCTTTTGCTGTTAAATATAGGCAAAAATTTGTTTCCTAGAATGCATAATCGAATAAAATTTCGATAAATCTTAATGTCTTATATTCACTTTCTTCGTTGAAAGGTAGAATGAATAATATATGAAGTTTATTAGTTTTAGCATTTTCCTTTAATTGCAAATATGAGCCTTTTTAAATGGGTATTTATTCAGTTTACAATTTTGAATTTAAAAGAAGATTTGAATTTTCTGCTTTTTTCTAAAAAGAAGGTATTTGTGAAAAAAAGTTTTCAATTTTATTTTTAATTGAATTTTAATAAATAGAATCTACTTTTACTACTAAAGTCATATTTTCGGCAAAATAAAATTTTTAAAGAAACTCTCTTAAGGCAAAGTATGTATTTTTAGGATTCTTCATTAAAGAGTCGAAATTTCCACAGCCAAAAGTATTAATAGGATGTTATTTATCACTTATATTAACTAATAATTCGTATATTCTATTAGCTTCATCGGTTAAACTATTCACATATTCAGAATCTACTGCTTATATTTCTCGCTCTAGTTAATCTTCTTTTAAAAGAGGGTCAATGAAAAATCGACTCCATACTTCTAATAGTTACTCAAAATTATTGTTTGTGCTTTAAAAATAATAATTTGTATTTCCATTTGCAGTAAATGCATTAGCTTATCCTCCTTTTTTTTTATTAAAATAATAATTATAATATAATATTTTTTTTTAAAAAAAAATACCATTTCTTGATATTAAATCAAAAAATAAATTATCATCCTGATATTTTTCACTTCCCATAAATAGCATATGTTCTAAAAGATGTGCAAGTCCTTATAATTAATCTGGATTATTAAAAGAGCCTACTTTTACGTCTAAAGAAGCTGCGCTTAAGGGTAAATTAGGTTCAGATATTAAAAGTACTTTTAAATTATTTTCTTTTAGTTTTATACTTTCGAATTTGCTTTTTATTGTTTTAGGTTTTATTATTTAATCTGTTATATCTAACCAATTATTTTGAAAAAATTGTTCGTTCGGATTTTCTAAAGGTTTTTTTTATTATGAAACATTGTATGTTTGTAAAAACAATAATATAGATGTTAGTAATATTATAACAAATAAGATTAGTCTTTTTAAGTATGGTCTTATTCTTTAGTATAAATTTAATTTCTGTTTACCTTAAACAAGTAGTTAATAATCGTTTAACTGTAGATTTTAATAATCTTATTTTATATCACAATAATTTAATTGTTTTTAGTTTAAAATAAATATTCTTTTTTCCTTGTTATTATCCATTTATTTTTAGATAAATTTTATTTAGTTTTTATAAATATAATTAATTATTTATTTTTATACTCAATTTTATTAAATTATTTATTAATTTTAAAAATTAAATAAAAATAATATTTATTGTAAAAATAAAATTAAATATATATTTAATTATTTTAAATATTTAATATAAGAATTTATTTAATAAATTTAGCGAGTATCTAAGAATATGAATTCTAATAACATAAAAAGTATATATTATTATTAAATTAAATTAAATAATAATCTTATTTATATAATTAAAATTTTAATTAACCTACATAATATAATATTAAGTATTTTATATGCTAAATTAAATTACTATAAATATAAAAAAGTTGATTATATTTTTTTATAAATTTTATTTATTTTTCTAATTCTTATGAGAATTTAAAAATTAAATTTATTTTAAATTAATTAATTAAATATCATCTTTATAAAAAATGAAACTTTTATCCATTGAATTTAAATAAAAAAATCACTATAATTAATACGCATTAAAAATACAATAAATATAAAATTATAATAAAAAAATAAAATAATTTAATTATTAAAAAAATATTTAATAAATAAAAATAAGTAAAAGAAAAAAATTAGAATAATTTTTGAATAATAAAATTTAATGAAAAATAATAAATTTTATATTTTAAAATTAAAAAAAAATTAAAAAAAAAAAAAAAATTGTTTTTATAAAAATAAAAAAATTGTAGCTTTCTTAAATAAATTAAATAATTTATATATATTAATTTCATATTTGAAATAAAAAAGTGTAAAAAAAATTATAAATTGTGAGAATTTTGAATTATAAATTAAACAAAAATATATATATATATATAATAAAATTTTATATAAATTAAAAAAATATATATATATATGAATAAATATTATATATTAATAAAAATAATATATATTAATAAATAAATATATAATATAAATATTATATTAATATTAAATAAATAAATAATATAAAATAAATAAATAAATAATAATTAAATAAATAAATAAATAAATAAATAAATAAATAATTTTACTTTTTTAACCACTTATCACTTTTGTATTTTTTTTTTTTTTTTTTTATTATTTATCGCTTATTTTATGATTTATTTATTTAATTTTTTTTCTTTTAATTAATAATATATATATATTATTATTTTAATTTTTTTATATTCATTTACTTATTTTTATACATAATAAATTATTTATTTATATATTTAAAATATAAAGCATTTATAAATAAGCAATATTTTTTTGTTTATATTATTATTAATTATATTAATTTATTATTGAATATTTATTTAATTATTTTTTATATATATATAATTTTTTTTAATCTTATTACTAATATAAATTTTGAAATTTCTATAGAAAATAAATATTTTTATATAATAATATCATTTGAAATTTATTACATTTTTTTTAATTTATGATTTATAATATTTGTATTTTAATTAGAAATTATTTAAAAAATTTTAATTTATTATGGAAATAATTTTTTATTAATTGCTGAGTTTTTTTTTTAAAAATATAATTTTGTTCATATAATCATTTCTTTATTTCCTAAAATTTTTTAAACACATAAAGAAAAATTTGGTTTTTATTTTTTTTAGTTATAATTAAAGAAAATTTTCAATTATTAATTAATTTTATAATCATGATTAGATTTTAATTATTTTATAAATAAATAAATAGAATAAACTTACTTTGAATATATTATTGCTTAAATGAATGATGAGAGTCTAGTTTTAGATAATGGAGTAATTGAAAAAACGGTTTAATTATTAGAAAACTATTCTGATTAAAAAATGAAGAAACTAAATTTGGAAGAGTTTTAATTATCTGAGGTGGAAAAGAGAAAAAATTACATCAATAATTTATTTTAAATATCATTCTTGAATAAATATATATGATTAAAAATAATCCAAATATATTTTATAAATTTTTAAGTTTAAAAGTTATTATTTGATTAAAAAGAATAATAAATAATATAAAAAAATAATTATTTTAAAATAAAAATTTTAATAGTAATATAAGTGAAGAAATAATATTTATTTCATAAAAATTAAGCTAATTATATTTGCTATTTAATTATTTTTAATTTTGAAAAGAAAATGAACTTTTCATGATTTAAAAAATAATAATTAATTAATAAAACATATAAGTAATAATAAATTTATTAATGTTAAAAAAGGATATTTGTTATAATTATTTATAAACTTTTAATTGTTAAAAATAACTAAATTAATTAAGTCTTTTTGATACTAATGAATAGATTTAAAAATAATCAAATTTAAATAATATTTTTATATAAAAGTTCCGAAAAAAAAAGAAAATTTATAAATAATATTTTGAAAAATAAATAAAAAATATAAATAATTATTTGAAAAAATAAAATATTTATATATATATATATATATATATATATATATATATATATTTATTATTATATTATTTAAATATAAAATTAAAAATTTTTAAAAAAATTATATAAAAAACATATTTTTATAAATAACATTAAATATTCAAACTGCTTTTCCTTTATAAAATTTACTAAATTAATCTTCTTGATCAATCCATTAGCCTAACTATTATAAATTTTAGATATTAAAAACAACATTTTCACCTTGATTATTATTATTATTTTAAATGTTTGGTGTAACATTAGGATTAAATAATTAGAAATTAATGAAATTATCAAAAAGGATCATAAAAGATTTAATAACATCATTTTTAGAATGCCATCAATTTCTTAAATAAGATTATTATTTTCTTAAAA